TTTTGATCCCTCCTCCCCTTGGCCTCCCTGCCACTTAATTCAGGAGTTTACTTGATTGGACAGAAAAAGCGACCTATCGCTTTCCAGTCTGTTAACCCAGAATGCCAAAGCGATACAAAATCAGTCAAGTGCCAGGAAAACTCAAATTAAGTTACAAGAGACAAACAAGAGACAAACAACAAAATGAGTGCGGGGACCGAGCAAGAAGCTAAAGACAAACCACTTCCACCCAGAATGGGAGGAAGAATATTTGTTTGTGATGTCACATTCAAAGGTTATTTGCCTTATTTGTAAAGCAAGCGTCGCTCTGCCAAAAAAAGGTAACGTGGAGAGGCATTATCGGAGTGTTCACAAGGCTGACAGCGACTTGCCTCCGAGTAGCGAGTTGAGAAAGAGAAAGGTCATGTATTATTGCTACACAAACATTATCTCGCAGTCTTAGTGTCGCCAACTCGTTTCTAACATGCAAAAAGACAAACAAATGCGTCTATGGTCGGTGTATTTTCGATCTTTTCCGATCCAGACGAGAATCTCTCTCTCTCCCGTCTGTGTGCGAGGGGGCGGGGCAGTTTACACACACGCTGCTGCTACATGCAGCAACACTTGGCTGAGAGAAGCGCTCCAAGGTGTGGTTAAATGTTACCCGTCTTGAAGTGGACAATGCTCGTTGCCTAGAGTGTTTAGCATGTAAGGGCGGTAACACGAGCAATGTGTCTAAACATTTAGCAAAAGTGCTCCACATTCAGACGGAGGAATGCACCGGGTTCGACTGTCTTTCTAGTAGCTCTGTAGCGAGTAACTTTTGCACGTCAGGTGTTATGTATGCTAGCAGCAACACACGGAGTTAACTCAGTTATACAAGCATGGGTTAATGATTAGAGGAAACTGAGTTATTTATTTTGTTAAAGTTTCAGCTATTCTGTTTACAGTTCTGTCATCAGATTATTTAATACGATTTGTTAAAACATTGTTGTTCTTTTTGATGTGAAATATTATTATTTTATTTAAATAAAAAGCAATGTTAGTTTTGTAAACAATTTGTTAATTTAATAATATAGTATTTTTGAATCAAGTATTAATCTTTATTGTCTTCATTGTTAGTTTCCACATGCCTAAAACAACCTCAAGCTACATCTAAAAGTTGATGGCTAAATAAGAGCGTTTGAGAAATTGTGCAAGGCATACAGTAATAGGTCGAATAGTCGATTAATCGTTTCATTAATCGATAGATTAATCGATTATCAAATTAGTCATTTGTTGCAGCCCTATTGTAGTTATCCCATGTATAAATCAAACGTGTATTCAGCAACTCTTGCAATTTGGGATTTTATTTTTGGTTGGTAGACCTCGGTGAGCTGGTCATTTCAAAAGTAGCTCACCAGCCAAAAAAGTGTGGGCACCCCTGACCTACAACAATGCTCTCTCCTGTCTCAACCAACTCGCTCCAATAAAAACCAAGTATGACTCTTTCACTCACTCGGCCCCCTGGAACACCGATCATCTCCGTTGCCTCAAAAGGAATGGTCGCCAGCTCGAAAGACATGCTAAACGAACTGGTCTCACTATCCACAAATACATTTATAGACTGCACCAACAGCAGTACAAAGATGCCCTCAACAGTGCACGCTCCTTCCACTACTCCTCTGTAATACAATCTGGCAGCAATAACCCAAAGTCCCTTTTTTCAACTATTAACAAGCTCCTCAACCCCCATGGATAATATCTCCAACTCCTTCACCACCTCAAAGTGTGAATCCTTCTTCTCATTCCTCCAAAGCAAAAATTGAAATAATACACAGCAACATAGCCAACTCCTCCGTCTCGTCCACCACCCATCCTTTTCCAGATCCTGCCTACCCTCCTCCTTCCAGGCACACCCTTTTACAGCCTTCAGACAAATTACCTCACTGGACATAGTTGCCCAAGTCACCCGCATGAATACCTCAACTTCATCCTGGACCCCATGCCCTCCACCCTTGTCAAGGCTGCCTCCCCCAACTCACTCATCTTATCACCAGTCATTAGCCGCTTTCACACCGCAGGACTTGCCGTACTTTAGTGCCGGCACTAAAGTACCCACGGCACTGACATCCGCCAGGGGGCTAGTGCCAATCGCATTCACACCGCAGTACTTTCCCTGAGGCAAGATACGCTAACGTCACTTCGTCTTCTTCTTCTCTGGGTTACTGGCAGGCCGCAAAATCACTTCACGGCAGGTACAAAAAAAAAACGAGAGAAGAAGAACTACACGGGGGAGGGGTATAAAGCCCACCCGCTGTATGAGGCGTTTGTTTACTTTCCGACCTCAGACATGATGGAGTTCATAAGGGTAATTTACAAATAAAATACCCCATTATAACAATGGACTTTATCTTTATGTATTTATTATATATTACCCCCTCAGGCTGATTTTGGAAAAGGACATTAACCCTTGTTTGGTGTTTTTCCCTTATTTATCTAAAACAAATGACATGATAAATGACTTGTGTTATGTGTGTAAGACTTGTGTTTCTGCCCCTGCCATTGCTGCACAAGGTTGCAACATTGTAGATAAATTCAACCACCGACACCTGTCTGCTCTCACATTCTTCTATTCTGCAAATTTGGGGTGGGACACAATAAATAAAGCTTCGCCAGTTTGTTTGTTTTATTGCACAGTCAAGACATAACAATAAGGCATCACGCTGTTCCAGGTGTGTACATTGACGTACATTGAAGTTAAATAAAGTGTAAGTAGTTTCAAAACAATGTAACAGTGGCAATAGCAGCAGACACACCTTAGTGCAAGTTAGGTGTCAGTATTAAAAAACAGTGGCAATATATATATATATATAATAACAATAGAAAATCGTTACCACTCTTATTATTGTGGTCTTTAATTTTTTTATAGTCCTGCCTGAGTTTCTTTATTTTTACCCGGCATCCGTGTGCACTGTGCACGATTCCCAGCTCAAGTAGCTTTTGCGAACATCGCTCAAAACATTTGGAGTTGGGAACTGCTTTCTGTAGAAGCTGCTGCATCCTGTCCTCAGAGTAAATTGCCAGAAGCGCCGACACTTCCTCATCATTCCACCGCTCCGGTGTTGTAGTAGGCCTACGTGTGGTCATAACTGCTTTAAAGTACAAAAAAACTACTCGCTCAGGTGTGGATGTGGTTTTGTAGCGAGGAAAAAAAATGGCTGCCTAACAAAGAAAATTCAGAGTCTAACGGGGCGTGGTTTGCAATTCGCCCAGCCAATAGAAATAGAATAGAAATTGGCACTCTTTATCACCAGGTTCGTACCACCTCTCTAGCAGGGACTGAAAATGGCCAAAAGAGTTCCCGGCACTGAGTAGTCCCGGCGGTGTGAACGCGACATTATTGGTACTAACGGAACTAAAGAACCAAAGTACCAGGGAAAGTCCTGCGGTGTGAATGCGGCTATTAACTCCTCTCTGTCCACTGGACTTGTCCCCCCCTGCTCTGAAACTCGCTGCTGTCACTCCCATACTCAAAAAACCTGGTTCCAACCCTGATTCCCTCAATAACTACCGGCCCCATCTCTAACCTCCCATTCCTGTCAAAATTCTGGAGCGAACTGTTGCCTCCCAACTAAAATCCCATCTGGACTGCAATAACCTTCATGAACCTTTTCAATCTGGTTTCCATACTCACCACAGCACAGAATCTTTCCTACACAAGGTGACCAACGACATTCTCCTCTCTGCTGACTCTGGTTCCCTCTCAATTCTCATTCTCCTTGACCTAACAGCCGCATTTGACACGATCAACCATTCCATCCTCATCAACCGCCTCCAGTCTTCCATTGGCATTACCGGGTACTGCCCTCCTGGTTTAAATCCTATCTCTCAGACATCAATTCATCTCCATTAACAACTCCAAATCCCCCACAGCCCAGTCAATCATGGCGTCCCTCAGGTTCTGTACTTGCCCCCCCCATCTACATCATCCCAATTGGACCAAATCCTCTGTCAACACCAACTCCAGTTCCACTGTTATGCTGATGACACACAGCTCTACATCTCAACAAAATCAATTTCTCCAACCACACACTCCCAGCTCAGCACCTGCCTCACTGACATTAAAATGTGGATCCAAAACAATTTTCTAAAACTCACTGTGACAAATCGGAACTTATAATCATTGGCCCAAACTCACTTACCCGCTCAACCCAAGATTGTTCTCTTACCATCGATGGCTACATTGTCAACCCCTCCACTCACATCTGTGACCTTGGCATAATCCTTGACCCCACCCTCACTTCCAACCAGGTCACAAAAACGCTTTCTTCAATTTAAAGAACATCGCTCGCATCAGACCCATCCATACCTTTATAACATCCCGACTGGATTACTGCAACAGCATACTTTTTGGATCACCTGCATTCACACTAAAAACACTCAATATGTCCAAAACTCAGCTGCCCGCTTGCTCACCTCCACCCGACGCTCCGACCACATCACCCCTATCCTCCATGACCTCCACTGGCTCCCCATCAAACACCGCATTGACTTTAAAATATTACTTTTCACTTTCAAAGCCCTCAACAACCTTGCCCCCCCTACTTCTGTGACCTCATCCAACGACACACCACCTGTCGCCTCAGGTCTGCTGAAGCTAACCTACTGCACCCCATCAGGACAAAGCTCCGGACCTGGGGTGACAGGCCTCGCAGCAGCCTCCCCTCACTCTGGAACTCCCTCCCTAGCCACGTCAGATCCGCCAACACTCTCATATCATTCAAACAATCCCTCAAAACTCACCTTTTCACTCTTGTCTTCAACTTGTAATCAACTAACCCCTTGCCCTTATTCCACCTAGCTTAGCACTTTCTACTTTTTTTTTTTTTTTTCTACTTTCAAACCGTGACCACCAAACCGAGGTTATGAACACGAACCGTGACTTCTGTGAACCCCTACTTATGACCCCCCCTATTTAAGAACAATACTTTATAGGGGGCAATAAAACAATAAACAGCTAAACAAACAAGTCATAAAAAGAATGAAGACAATGGTTTATTAGGGGGGCACTACAACAGGTGCACTGACACCTGTCACATCAAATGGATTTAGGGGCGGGGACTAAGGTTTTATGGGGGGTCATAAATCAATCACTCAACATGTCATAAATACCAAAGTGACACATACACTGTTCTTTCAACTACTCATGTATTCCATGAACTGGGGGGTCCCTCCCGTTAACTGAGGAGTATTTCTGGTCACGTTAGCACACATGCAGCGTTTCAGTGGGGCGATGCAGGGTTTGGTGAAGCCGTCAGCGAAGCCCCCGCCCTCCACCAGCTCCGGCCTGCGGTTGCACATGGGGCAGAGCTTGTTGCGCTCCTGCGACGATCGAATCCAGACAATGAGGTTCCAGCGCCGGCCCGAGGAGATGGGCAGGGCCCCGTGCATCTGCTGGCCCCGGGGCAGGAGACCCTCGCTCACCCTGTGCTCCACCTCCCAGCACTGCATCTCACTTAGAGGCACCTGCAGAGACATAAACACCAATAACCAGCATCAGTGGTGAAGAGCAATGTTCCCAAATACCACTTGTTCCCAGTTTCCGTCCCACTAACCAGTCCTTAAACACTACAGAGCCCAAACTGTGTTCCCTTTTGTGTTTTACTTCCTGTTTACCTTTTTCTGCTGTTCCCTTTAGTGTTTACTTCCTGTTTACCTTCTTCTGCTGTTCCCTTTAGTGTTTACTTCCCCTCTGTCTTCTTCTGATGTTCCCTTTAGTGTTTACTTCCTGTCTGTCTTCTTCTGATGTTCCCTTTAGTGTTTACTTCCTGTCTGTCTTCTTCTGTTGTTCCCTTTAGTGTTTACTTCCTGTCTGTCTTCTTCTGCTCTTCCCTTAAGTATTAACTTCCTGTCTGTCTTATTCTACTGTTCCCTTTAGTGTTTACTTCCTGTCTGTCTTCTTCTGCTCTTCCCTTAAGTATTAACTTCCTGTCTGTCTTATTCTACTGTTCCCTTTAGTGTTTATTTCCTGTCTGTTACATAAAATACTCATAGCAGAAATGTCACTGTCCTACACATCATTGTTTACAATGGCCGCGATATAATACAATTGGGCAATGGTAAACAAAATTAAAACACAGCATATAAAGTAGATATTAGGTTAAGTGAAGGTTAAAGGGTTTTAATATTTGAAGGTTTACACAGACTTTTGCTTATATTATTTTTGGGACAGAGTTAAAACTAAAAATGGTCCTGGAGTTTTTAAAACACAGAATGTGAATCAGCACTTAAATCTACTAAATAGTTTATTTTTGACAGACACATTTAGCAAATGCACATGCTGTTAGATAATATATTGGCACAAGGCATTTAAAACATTCAATGTTTCTTAAAGTCTATGTCACTTTAAGGTACGATGCAAAAGGTGATTCAAAACACGTTACCAATCATTCTTGAAATTCTACTCTGCAACGTCAAAATTGTAATGCCAATTCTCATGTCTTACCATTTTTCATGACTAATTATACCCAATTAAGGCCTCATTTTAAGATGCCCGGGGGTGTAGGTGTGGGTAGTATTACAGCAAGTTTATATATTCACCTGTCTCATATCCCCCAAAATAAAGGTTTCCCTCTGTGAAGTCCTTTCCGAGGGAAACGTTCAGCGTGACCTCTGCGTTGTCGTAGTGGTAGCTCAAGTCCCGGTCTTTCGTCCATGTCATATTTTACCACGAAGGCCTTGTGGCTGTCCAGGCTGCCCCCCCCACAGTCGGGGTACAGCAGGGAAGTGAGCGGCTGCAGGTAACGCTGGCGGAGCGGCGTGATGAAGCCCTCGTCGAAGCCCAGTTCGTTCAACAGGATCTGGAGGACATTCATGAATAACACACTTTCAGACTAGAGGTAAGAAAGCAGCTAAAACGCAGGAATTTATTTGACTAACTTTGTCGGTTTGGGTCTGTAGATTTCTCCTGAATTCACAACAGTTAGGATCACATAAAGCCTCATTTGCATATTTAAACATGAAATGTCAGAAAACTTGTAAAAACTTGATTTGAATATGCAAACAAAATAAAACAATACTTTTTAACATGGATTTACCAAATGTTCTCAGATCTGTTCTGGAATACTCCGTAAATAAAACATATTTGATAAGAAAATGCCTAATTTACACATATAAACATAATATTTCATAAAAGTTTGTAATACAAAATGAATTGTCTTAATGTCAGTAATGAAGTGAGACAGTTTTATAGTGATATCTATTAGTTACATCTTTGACCCTATTCACATGTCGTGTTCCTGTCATGACCCTTATATTTATATAAAAGTCCCAGCACGAAACCTCTAATATTTCATCGAGCTTCACATATTTCCTGACTGAGGGACTACAGGAGGCCAAGATCAAAATGTCATGGCACCATAAGTATTAAATGTGAATGTGCAGTGACTAAATACTGTATTGGAGGTTGAATTACCCCGTAGTGGTTCATGGTGTTGGGTCTTCCTTTGGGGGCGGAGGACTGCTCAAAGTGCTCCAGCTCCTCCACCAGCTGCTCACAGAAGCTTCTCTCAAACACCGGGAAGCGATAAACTCGAGCAGCTTCAACAGAAACATGGGGAACAATGGTTATAGAAGAGGGGAAACATGAGGTGCAGGGGGGACTGTTTTGTATTTAGTTTTGTTCATTATTACGCCACTAGAGAAGAGGGTTTCTGTTCCTTTAATAAGTAATTAAAACCGTATCCGCCTTTATTTATATCCTGCCTTAAAAATACTGTTTGCTGAATCCTTTTGATTTGAGATCGTCATTAAAACAACTTTGATTTTACCAACTTTTTACAATTGTCTTTGTATGTGAGCTAATATTTCCCATGTTTTTGCTTTTTTAATACATTTTAAAATGTATTTTAAGACATTTGTATGCCCTGTATAACCAAGCCTTACATGATAGTATCTGTACACTTGGGATTCAACCACATTTTTTTCCCATAAAATGATATTTTAAATATAATTTTAAGACGTGCATAACAGTATGTATCACTACAGGAAAGGGAACACCCTAAAAAACATAATAGGGCCCCTTTAATATTTGGTTTAACTGTTAATTTCACTGTCTTTGTAACATATTTAAAATGAATTTCAGGACTTTTTTATATCCTGTACAACCAGGACTTGCATGGCACATGGCGTAATCTGAAGTCAGCCAACAAATACAATTAAATCTACTGTAATTGACATTAAAAGTGCACATTATTCACGGAGAGGAGGTCAAAGGTGAACCTCTCACCTGCCTCCTCCTGCAGCAAGTCTCCGAGAGACCCCCCCCTGACGGCGCTGACTCGGCAGAAATCCACTATCTCCTTGAACTTTGGAGCGAGGTAGGACTCCTGATGAGAGAGGAGGGTTGCAGATGTGTTTCAGCGATGTGTTACTGTATGCACACATTCATTACATGGCTGAGTTGAATACTCGATTCTGATTGGTCATTTTGGAAATTCCAGAGGTTGTCAATTTTAGCTAGCAGACCGTTACTAAGGAGAACAGACCGTTGCTAAGGAGAACTCGCTGCAAATAATCCCTGTTTTTCAGGTCTCAGGCTCGAAAATGACAGTCCCAGAACAAATGACTATATCTTCCCTTCTAAAAGGGTTAAATTAATAATCTGTTTTCTCAAAGTAATGATAAATCTGTGAGTTGGATGTAGAAGAGTCAGAATCAATATAGATGTTTTTTATTTTAAAGAAAATTCAGATTGAACACAGTAAAACAATGTAAATGATAGTGTCCGTCCAAAAAAAACATTACTTATAGTGAAAACTACCCTTGAATGATGGGATCGGAGACTAAAAGCTTTAGGAATCCAAACTATAACATATAATAAGTACCCTGTATCAAGATTGATGCAAAACAAGTGACATTTTACCTTTTTAGAGAGGTTTAGAAAAAAAACCTACTTCAGGGGTCCTTTGGGTGCATTTACCATATCTATGGCCCCCGTCGGTCGATTTTGATGATTGACATCTCTTTTGAACCGTTAGAGCCAATAGAATCGAGGGGAAGTTCCTAAAATCCATCTAAACATTACCCATTGGTGAATGAGTGATGCGCAGCCAGAATGTCCAAAACCGGAAGCTGTCTATACACTCTGGTAGCTATCATAGCAGCTCATATGAAAACTCCGTTATTTACATAAATATCGTGATGGATTATCAGTAATAATTTCAAAGTGACACATAGGCCTGTCACGATAATTAATTTTGTTGGATGATAAATGTTCCTGGAAATTATTGCGATAAACGATAATATTGTCGGCACCATTGTAAGACCATTTTAGACCACTGACATAATGATAATATATCCAGGGGTGCACATAACTGGTACGCAGGTACGCATGTGCGGCAACAATCCGAAATGCGTACCATCTCTTGTGTCACAAAGCGCATTTGCGTACCGACGTACTTGTGAAGCTTTTCCAGAAGGCGGTTAGATCACCGAACGACAGAGTCGGTCTCCGTGTGCACAGACAGGGCTGCTGTTAACGTCGGTCTGTACAACGGAATTGTGCCAAAACTACGCCAACCGGCTGCGGAGGGAGACTCCCCCCCTTCACTGGAGAACTGCGCTAAAACAGCTGATCACAACGTTCACACTCTGTGGTCACGAAGTACTCCACTAGACCCGTCCCGTCCCGTCGACTTTCCTGAAGTACTCCACTAGACCCGTCCCGTCCCGTCGACTTTCCTGAAGTACTCCACTAGCAGGCAAAAACATTTATTATTATTATATCATGTTCCAAATCACATCAAGGATTATTTCTGAAACAGTAGGGAGCTCAAACTCTTTTTCTCTCTCAGGTTTACCACAAGGTGAGTTCCTTTTTATTTCCTGCTTCTTCACACATACTCTCTCAAGTACAGGTTAGCTCTGAGTGATGGCGAAACAAAGACCATATTACGTCCAAAACACTTCGCTCATTGTTTCTGATAGCGAAGTTTCCGATAGGGCCGTGGGTCTAAAGCCCGCCCACATTTCAGATATTACGTCATAACGGCAGAAAATCTGGATCAGCTCCGTTGTTAGCTCGTTTTTAGAGATTTAGGTACGGTGGAAACGAGAGAGGGTTTTCACTTTGCGAGTCTCCTGACACACCGGGGACAAATATTTATGTATAAAAGGCATGAAAAAGTGCATTTTGTACGATAGGAGACCTTTAATAACGATGAGGTGTTATGTACCTGCAGGTGGTAGACGTGCGGATGCAGAGGCCGGTACGTGTCTTTTATAGCAGCAGCTCTCTCTGCACACGTCACACTAAGACGCCTTCGCCGGTCCACTTCCTGTGAAATCTAAACAGGAAAAGTCGTGATGAGTTTGAGTACTTCGACTTTTACTCAAGTACAAGATCTGAGTACTTCTACTTTTACTCAAGTACAACATCTGAGTTATTCTTCCACCTCTGCTCCTGAGGCACATCACAAATAAAACAAAAGTTCTCACCTTGTTGAACACATCCTCAAACTGTGCGTCCGTCACACAGCCAAGCCTCCTCAGCACCTGAGTGTCAATAATGAACATAATCAGAGGTGGGAAGTAACTAAGTACATTACTCAAGTACTGTACTCAAGTACAATTTAGAAGTACTTGTACTTTACTTGAGTATTTCCATGTTATGCTCCTTTGTACTTTTACTCCACTACAGTTCTGAGGTAAATGGTGTACTTTGACTCCACTACATGTATTTAATACCTTTAGTTACTTTGCATGATGAATGATGTGAAATATAATCAAGTCTTAAATCAGACTTTAGTTCCACCTGGAGTAAATTCACCAGATGCAGTATACAGAGTCATTAAAACTAGCTGCACCTTTACCAGCTTTGATAACACTTTAATGATCAATCAGTATAAAACATATCATTATGTATTATGTATTATTCTGAAATGGACCATTATTTGTTGTATACAAAATATTCATATATGTGCTTGAATAAAAAAAACAACGGTTTCCTTACTGAATGATAGTCCAGTCTGAACTATCGCGATATTATGAACTGTTTACTCACTGAATGATAGTCCAGTCTGAACTATCGCGATATTATGAACTGTTTACTCACTTCGCCATAGTCCCGTGTGAACTGCTGCTCGGAGACGAAGCGGACATGGAGCTTGTATTCCTCCAGAAAGATGTTATCAGTGGTAAAACAGTTACAGATATAAAACTGACGATCCTCGTTTGTCATGTTAACCTGTTTAAAATCTAATATGTTGATAAAAACGTGCAAACAAACGCAAAAACAACCAACTGGCAAGCTCAACGGCTGTTTTTAGCAAGTAGCAGGCAACAAACAGTATACTTCCGGTTCGAGGTTTTCAAAATAAAAGCGACTTTTGTAAATACAGACTTAAATGTTATTACATCCACATTTTTAAAGTGTACAGTTTCTCACTTGTGAGATTTAAATGCAATGTATTTTACGGAATTACCATATTTTTGATTACAAACTTTGTTCATTTATATACTCTATTTATGTATTTATTTCCGTATTCATTTATTTAAACCCGGACTCATGTATTCATTTAATGTATTAATTAATTAATGTATGTATTCTTGTCTCATTTTGTAATTAATCAAAAACATTGTTTACATTCTTTTTTTCATCTGGAGTTTACATGAAGTACCATACTCTGGCCAGAAGGAGGAGCTCATGCTAAACCAATAGAATACAAGCTACGTTATTTAAAAAGTAGCAGAAGAAGAATACAGAGAGGGAGCCTGATGGGGATACTGGGAACAGAAGGTGAGGGGGTAAGAGCTACCAGGAAGGCCATTCTTAAGTATTTGAGTGAAACAGGGTTGATTGGAATCATTTAAAACAACGTAAATACAGTGGTATAATTCCACAAGTGGTGATAGGATGATATGGTGATACACACTCTTGTACAGTAGGTGGCGGTATGCACCTTCACGTTGTTTGCAATCCGCCAAAAACCGAGAGAAGAAGAAAACAGACAGGCACAACAAGCTCAGTATTTTCATCCTGATTGTATTTTGGATGATTAGCAACGTTAGCAGTCGCTTGCATTGCTGCTAAACATGCCGATTAGTACTCTAAAGCACATGTTGTTTACCTAGCGTCATACTCGCTGTTCACTTGAGTGATTTTCAGAGTAAAGCATGTTGAGCTCAGAGTCTCTGCAGGTCGCTGAGGAGGAGGTGGTGCTGGAGTCTAGCTCCAACAACTGGGAGATATTTACACTTTTGTGGCTAAAGGATGCTTTCCTCACACCATGCATCCTCTCAGGAAGAAGAATCTCAAAAGATACGCTCAGAAGTTCATCATTGATGGTAAGGGGTTTGATTCAGGTCCGGAGTGCAACACACTATATACCACGGTGAATTATGTCCCGTAATGTTCCACCACAACTGTGTGTATCAGGTGTTTCTAAACTGGTTTTCATATCGCCGAGTTACCCTGTGTTTTGATGGAAGATAAAGGATACAAGTCTACTTTGTTTGGACATAAGTATGCCAAACTCAGGAGCTGACTTCTACGGAAGAGGATAAGGGCCACATTTCTCCAAGTCATTTGGGTCTGTGACCAAAAGTTAAAACAAAAACATGGGAGTTTTTGACTTAAATCTCAGAATTATGAAATAAAATAATGTTTATATATTTTGATTTTTTTGTCTCCGAATTCTGCCTTTAATTCTTCCTCAAAAGAACATATTTTTCTCTGCAAATTTAATTTTCTGATTGATGTTTTATTAATTGTTTTTTAAAATTCATTTTCTGTAATTCATTTTTTTTTTATTTCCCCAAAATTATTCTGAATTTTTTTTTTACATTTATTTCCGAATTATTTTTATTTAATTCTGACATTTTTCTTAGGAATTCTGAAAAAAAGTAATTCTGTTTTCTCAAAAAAAAAAATCAGATTTATTTTCTTTTTAACTGTTTTTATTAATTTCTCAGATAATACTTTTTTTCCCAAATTCTGAAAAAGAAGAAGTGGTTTCTCTTGTTTACCTCAAGATTTTTATATCATTCTGACTCTTTTCTTGAAATTCTGGAAAAAGGGTTAGGGTGAGTAATTTCTTAAACAATAATTTTTTTTGGAATTGTTTTATTCATTTCTCTGATGTTCTGAATATTTTTTTTTTATTCAGATTTTTTTCTCATAATTCTGAGACTTCAGTCAGTACTCAAATCATGTCTTACTGTTGGTCACATTCCACATTTCCTCATATTTTCTTTTCTTTTACTCTTTCTGATTTATTATTATTTAATTCTGACTCTTTTTTCTTTGAATGAGACTAAAGTCACATCTCAAACATTTTCTTATTTTGGTCACATCCCAAAAAAAATTCCTCACGTCACGCGGTTTCTCTTCCGTTTTCTTCAACTTATTTCAGCAGGCCAACATTTAGATTTTATCTCAACCTTTTCAAATGAAGCAAAACATCAAACAGTTACCTTTTTGATCGATGTTTTTGATGAAGCACATTTCAACAACATGGCGATTCAAAGTGCTTTTCAAAAACATTATAATCATTAAGCCTAAGAGCAAATAATCACAGGGTTACATACAGGGCCGCCCCTGGCCAACTTGGGGCCCCAAGCGACATTGTGAGATGAGGCCCCCCCCCCAACCGACAGGAGTGAAACATTTTTTTGGAAACAAAGTACTTTGCAAATATAATAACTGTTTATTATTATTATTATCAACATAGTTACTTTTTTATAGTGAGGTAAATGGTGAATGTGCATGTATGTCATTCAGTATGCGTTTACAGGTGAATACGTCTGCATTTCCTGCCAAATACTAGCCTCGAAAAGATTAAAATATAATTAATGCAAATAAACTACTTCTACTAATAATGATAATCAATTCAATAATTAAATACTATATTATTTTATTATAATATAGTTGTAATATAGTCAAGACAAAACATGCTTATGACATGCTCAAAAACTGATATTTCTTAAATCTGTATTCTAGTTCCCTCTGTCAGCAATGTATCAACAACTACACACACATTTCTATCAGTATTTCTCTGTGTTGTGGTTGACATGACGATGACTGTTAGGAGTTAAGGGGAGAGGCTGAGCGTCACCATGATGATGACTGTTAGGAGTTAAGGGGAGAGGCTGAGCATCACCATGAAATGTGCAAATTGACATAAAAATGAATAAAAGGGGAAAAAATGCTCCATGTTTTTTAGGCTGTAAACTTTAACTGTTATGTAAGCCAAGTAGACAGACAGTTTACCACTCTTCCTCCTGTACATTAGCAGATAAAAGGCATAACATACTTGAATGAATGGTAAATAAAGAATGCTGGAAATAACTGCATTTCCATTAGCCTGTATGCTCTACAGAGACTGCCTTCTTCATGTCGTGAATTGCAGCTGCAGTCAATTGGCAATTTGACTTATACAACATTCGCAAGTTGTACATTTGACTCATACAATTTGTTTCCCCTCTTGCTTGCGCCGGACTGAAACTGTCTTTTCACCGACATCTCTTCTCCTGCACTAGTGGCCGTATCAAAGCCGTGATTGGTCAGATGTCGATTCATTGCAACGGTGTCGGGTTACAGACGTGCTCCCCTTGTCACCTCTCACTCTCGCACTGCACGGAGAACTGCGCACAGCAGCTGAGGCCCTCTGGGCGGGGCCCCCTGCGCAAAGGCGGGGCCCCGTGAAGCCTGCGTGATTGGCCTGTAGGGAGGGGCGGCCCTGGTTACATACTTTATTTCGATTTGCGATGAATGTTAATAAACGTATTATACGGCTTGATTGAATACTCAATTCTGATTGGTTAATTTGGAGATTGCAGAGGTTGTTAATACTCGATAACACACCGCTGCCAAGCAAATAGTGCCCGGTGGAATGATCGTTTTTAAGTCAATATAATCATTTTCAATTGATATTGTGAGTCAAGTCGTTGGTTTGTTAAATATGTGGCCGTGAAATAGGCGGATAATGTGCAGCGAGGCGGTCATTATAGAGACATATCACCCTTAAGAGTTGTATTCATTATCCCTTACTTAAAAACACAAAGTCTACAACCAAAAGCAGATCTTCAAATATGATTTTAAGGAATCTTCTATTATCCAAATCTAATATTGTGTCTTTCTTCACTCAGAGGGGAAGCTGTTACTACGTCGGGCCGAAGAAGGAGGAGAAAGAGGGAGGTGGTGATCGAGGCAGAGAGGAAGAGGCAGATTTTCCTCGACTGCCACTTCAACGACATCGGTCATCACCTCGGCCAGAAAGAAAGACCGTGCACCGAATCCAGAGCAAGTACTACTGGCTGGGCATCATCAAGGACGTGGTGGACTGGGTACGTTCGTCTGTAATGCAGTGGTGCAGGAATGAGTCCTAAAACCAAGGGATGAGTCAGCATTGTATCCCTTCCTGTCCCCTTGTCCAGTGTTTCCGCCAGACCAGGGCTGAGAGGGCTTGAATTTTGACTTGAGCCGTCCCTTATAGATACTGTCTTTTTACGTTAGTGAGCCGGATCATTTGGCTCGGCTCTCTTAAAGCGCCGGCTGTTTCGGCTCCCAAAACGGCTCTTCATGTTACCACAGCTTACCACGGAGCCTCAGTTTCGCCGCTGCGAGGCTCTGGTGCTCGCAGCTCACGCGCGTGCTCCACTAGCACCGCTCATCGCGTCCAAATCGCGCACGTTCCGTGTTGTCCTGTAGCAGGCACCGCCGATGTCGGGGAAAGGATCTTCAATATTCCGAAAATAATCCCACCAGACTCCTTTGCCCCTCCAACAAAGGAATGTCCTTGTCCCTTTTCCTTTTCGTCATTTCAAGCGATAAAAACTCTCGATCTTCTCTCGAATTATTAATATTTTTGGACGCCCTCTGCTCGCGTTCAGGGCGTCCCGAGCTGAATAAGGGCGTCAACTGACGGCAAGACGCCCCCCTGGCGGAAACGCTGCCCTGGTCTTGAAGTTTTTTCTGAATGTGTTTTTAGGTTGTTATCCTGAAATAAGGTCTGAGGTTAACACAAGCTGAAGAGATGTTCACTTTTAGTTTTACGAGTGAGACGACTAAACATCATCACGCCCAACATTAGCCACCTTTAGCTTAGCGGTGGTGACGTGAAGTCATGTGACCGTGCTGTAGTTCCTATATAGCCCAACATTAGCCTCCTTTAGTTTAGCGGTGGTGACGTGAAGTCATGTGACCGTGCTGTAGTTCCTTATAGCCTGTAGTTAGCTTTTTCCTTACAAAATCATAAAGTGGTATTAATATGTGGAGATTATCTTGCTGAACTAAACATGTCAGTATCATAAACGTTTGTTTGACAAAGAGATTATTTTCTGCAATAATCCAAAATCACATAGACAAATCCCAATTGGACCAGGGAGATGCTGCCTTCAGGGTCCAACAGCTGCTCTACTCTATGACACTGTGACTTAATAGTTATATTAATATTTAACTTTTAACTGTGTCCTGTTTCAGATCAAAGTGTGTGACACCTGTCAGCACACAGAAAGGAGTAAAAACCTGGCCAGGACGGTCCGGCCCATTAAAGTGGACGCACCTTGGGAGATCGTTGGGATTGACATTATAGGTTTTTGCCTTAATTTAATTTCCTCAAATTATATTTATCTGCCGTTTTATTTCTTACTAAATGTTACCTTATATTACCTCACCTTACTTTACCTTTCCTTACCTCACTTTACTTTACCTTTCCTCACCTTATCTTCCTCTTCCTCTTCCTCAGGGCCTTTCCCAGAGACGCAGCAGGGGAACTCTAACGTCATAGTGCTCATCGATTACTTCAGTAAATGGCCCGAAGCTTTTCCGGTTCAGAGGACGGACGCTCTCTCTGTCGCAAAATGTATTTCCAAATGCATATACAGGTAGATACACTTCAGAAGATCACCTGTAATCACACTTTACCTGACCAGGTGTTTGAAGCTTCATTCATGATATGTGAATCTTAAAGAGGCCCTATTCTGTTTTTGGAGATTCTCCCTCTAGTATGAGAAAAATAAAGAGCTTTTTGAACATCAAAGCATGGAGATATGTCGCATATCCTAAACAATGCCAATATCCACTATAGGTTTTCCTGGTTTTAACTACATTCTAGTAATGCCATTCTTGCTAGCAGCACTCGGGTTCAAAATACATATTTTACTTTAGAGGAATCATTGAATATTAAGATTCAAAGTTAAATGGAAAGTCTATCTGAAAAACTTTTCGTAGAAGTCCATGATCTTCCTGCCAGAAAGGATTCAGTGATGTCCAAGACCAGAATACTGTGTATATATATAATCTGAAAATGATTCGCCTCGAGGCACCCACACTGTCTCCCATTTTCCTTCCCTTTCCCATGTGTGTTTCTGTTAGAAAAATCTCACTCGTCACCGGCTTGGTCTTCAATATCAGGATCCATGTATTTATTATCCTCTCAAGAATGGGAGTAAAATCAGAAAAAATATATTTGTCTAAAATGCAACCATCAGGACATAACAATGTTTTTAACCTGAAATTAATCTCCTCTTCTTCTCTTTTCTTTCAGGTTTGGTGCCCCTAAAACAATAGTGTGCACGCAGAACGCTGACTTCTGTGATGAGGTGAGATTATTAAAATACTGTAAATAAATATTAACGCACAGATTTAAACACCCATGCTGCTGTTTTCACAACATACAATGAGGTTTTTTGCATCACTGCAGGACCATTTGCAACTTGAGACAAGGATAAACATTAAGAGAAGAAATAAGGGAACAGCGATTTCACATGACACTACAATCACTGTATACTTTAAAGAGTTCTCTCCTGCTGATGTTCAGGTGTATATCAGTATGTAGTGTCTCTACTTTAAAGAGTCCTCTCCTGCTGATGTTCAGGTGTATATCAGTATGTAGTGTTTACTTTAAAGAGTCCTCTCCTGCTGATGTTTAGGTGTATCTCAGTATGTAGTGTCTCTACTTTAAAGAGTCCTCTCCTGCTGATGTTCAGGTGTATCTCAGTATGTAGTGTTTACTTTAAAGAGTCCTCTCCTGCTGATGTTCAGGTGTATATCAGTATGTAGTGTTTCTACTTTAAAGAGTCCTCTCCTGCTGATGTCCAGGTGTATATCAGTATGTAGTGTCTCTACTTTAAAGAGTCCTCTCCTGCTGATGTTCAGGTGTATATCAGTATGTAGTGTCTCTACTTTAAAGAGTCCTCTCCTGCTGATGTTCAGGTGTATATCAGTATGTAGTGTCTCTACTTTAAAGAGTCCTCTCCTGCTGATGTTCAGGTGTATGTCAGTATGTTGTGTCTCTACTTTCAATTGTCTGCTTTCTTATTGTTTGTCTGTTCATTATTGTAACAAAAACAATAAAAACAAAGTTTAAAATATATATGTATATATAGATATATGATACATGATTATCTGTGCAGGTGAGCGAGCGCCTGAGCGACAGGTGGAGCATCGTGCAGGCGGTGTCTCCTCTGGATCCGCCTCAGCTCAACCCTCTGCACGACGGCAGCTTCTCGCAGCTGAAGGAGGCCGTGGAGCAGATGGTGGCGGAGAAGCAGAGCCAATGGGACGACTTCCTGGACCCCGTGCTGTTTCTGTTCAGAACGTCCAGCAACCCCACCACCAAGTTCAGCCCCTACTCCCTCATGTTCAGCAGGAAGCCTGACCTGCCCGACCAGGTGGGGAGAGATAAGATAAGAAGTCAACTTTATTGTCAATCTCAAAATATGTTTGTCCACACAGAAAGATTGAAATACTGTTTCCCACAGTCCCGAGGTATAAACTTACACATTAAAATGCAAGAACACTCAATAATTTACAATAACCGCAGCAGGATATATATATATATATATATATATATATATATATATATATATATTAGGGCTGTCAAGTTAACGCAAAAAAAAATTAACGCCACTAATTATTTTAACGCAATTAACGCATGTGTATTTTTTTTCCTTGGCCGCCCCGTAGTTTCAGAGCGCATCGAGTTTAAAATACCATCTACAAGCTGATGCTGACAGCCCCGCTCCTGCCGCCCGCTTGTGGCAGACCACACTTCCACGCTCACCGGCAGGCACCGACTGGCCATCGGGAGGACCGGGAGGGTGTGTGTATGTGTGGCCCGAGCGAGCGAGAGAGAGACCTTACGTGCATTGTTGTTGTTAGCATCTGGTGCTAGCTAGCTGCGCTAACGGATATACGGAGCTGTTTAAATGAAAACAGAGGAGCGATATTTCGCCACAACTGCGCCGAGCACTTGACTTTATGCAGGAAGCCAGAGAGTGGGACATTGTACGAAAAGTCAGCACACTCAGCACGGATAGTACGCAACATGATTGCAGCGTCCAGGCAGCTCCCGTTCGAGCATGTGCCTTGAGTTGCACATAGCTCCAACGCACGCGCACACACACCAGGGCTGCCAAGTTTCAGTAACAAGTAGGAGTGAGACTTTCGGGGGAAGATGCGTTTCGATTTTTTCTTTTGCCTTTTTTAACGTCGATTTAGAGGAATATCTCAATTTAAATTAACATTAAGACTGTTGTGATGTCTTCACCCCCATGCCAGCTGCTCTCCCTGCACTGTCGGCCTCCTCATGCTTATATAGTGTTAATAATTGACCAGCACAAGTAAAAATGAAAACAATTGTAACAAGAAAAGGTTTGACAAATAAAATACATTTATTTATAAAATGTCAATATAAAGAAAACATAGCAGCCTTTTAAGAACCAATAGCAGCCTTTTCCTTTAGTGCATTTTTTTTTTAAGAGTAACAAAATTATAACCAGAATAATATATATATATATATATTATAAATAAATAAAGTGCATGTCTTTGTTTGTGTGTTTTGGTTTACATGACATGTCTCATGTTGTAGGTGTTTGTGGCAGATGTTGATGCCTTGATGACAGAGGGAGGGGGCTCCCATTTGAAACACTGTGGCTCAAGGTTTGCCATCTTCACAGTCATGATGGATGACAGAGTTCCATCAAGAGCCAAACAGTTTTTCGGGTTTTGTTCAGTCCCACCACAGAGAACACTCGTTCAGCATCAGCATTTGAATGTGGAAGTACAAACACCAACTTGGCAATACGAGAGAGCCTCCCAAATCTGCTCATACCGGTCACCTTTGAAAAATGTAGGAAGCCTAATTACTCTCAAGTATTTTTGTATAGAATTAAGTTGATTACGTCAATGGGTATTTCAAAGGGTGCAGAATAATTCTTACCTTATTCTTCATTGATGCCAAGTTCCCCGAAAAGCTCTCAATGTCGAACGTGGCTGGGTCTTCGGCATGGCAATGTCCATGGACTGGTAGTCCAGAAACTCCTCACTCAGTTTGTCACGCTCGTCAGGTCCGTTGTATGGGAGAAGTTCAGGAAACCTAAAAAGAACACAATGTGCACTGATCTGGTAAAGTAATGTAGCTGAAACGGGTTGTTTTTCAGATGTGGTCATTAAACTTTACAATCTATTAAGAAAATGTGACAAGAGCCAAGAGTCTTTAACCTGCTCTACTTAAGCATATTGAGATAACTTGTGTTATGATTTGGCACTATAGATACATGTACTTGACTTGATACCCCAAGTAACCTGTCGACAAAGTACAAGGCGTCTTCCACTCCACACTCTACCCTCTGCTGGACATCCAGAAACATGGCATGTTTTATCTGGGGCTCTCTCATGTGGAGTTTCTTCATGGCATACTCCACAGCCCTCACCAGAAACGCCACTGCTGCCTGCTGGAACCTCTGCACTTGCTGCGTGTAATGTCTCCTGCATCAAGGAGCCTGTCGAGTGTAGCTCGAGTAGTGAAGCCGATCACCAGCTTTTCTCCTACGAGAGACACAATAAATCAACAACGTCACAGAGGTCATTAAGGTGCTGTATGCGATTCTGGAGAAAGATTGATGCAATATGTTCTCATTCCCAACACCAACATGTCAGTATGAGACTGGGAATAAGACCGGTGTTGAGTCACTTTAGCAATCATCAACAACCCACAATAGCTAACTTTGAAAGCACCCCTTAAGTATCTTCATCACATCAGTGGATTGATTGATTGAATACTTTATTAGACAGAAATGCAAACAGCACAAGTACAGTCACACATTTGGGCTAAAAGGATAACATAAAAAGTCCTGTGGACTTGTTTCCATTGTGGTCCTATGTGTGTGATGAGATGACATTATCAAACTCATAACTTGTCTGCACAAGCAGCTCTCTAACAAACACACACAGTATTATGTGAGTGAGATCAGTGAGTGGATAGTGTATGTGCATCTGCTGATGTGAAACTTGGAGGATTACCTGGCAATTGGTTTGATGGGTCCTTATAGAGGATTTCATGCAATTCCCGGTGCTGCGGGCTTCAGAAACTTCGAGAGAAACTTGCGGATGATGAAAAAAGGAACAAACATAGTACATTACATTGCATTTAGCTGACGCTTTTATCCAAAGCGACTTACAATAAGTACATTCGACCAGGAAGACACAACCTTGAAGAAAACAGAATCATATAAGTACATCAGGTTTCATAGAGCCAAAACATTTCAAGTGCTACTCAACTGGCTTTAGGTAAGCCAGCCCTTTATTAGTATAAAAGTGCTTCGTTAATAGTTCTAACGCTCGAAGTGGAGTCGAAAGAGATGAGTTTTCAGTCTGCGCCGGAAGATGTGCAAGCTATCTGCTGTCCTGATGTCAATGGGGAGCTCATTCCACCATCTTGGAGCCAGGACAGCAAACCCACGTGTTTTTGCTGATGGGAACTTGGGTCCCCCTCGCAGTGAGGGTGCAGCGAGTCGTTTGGCTGATGCAGAGCGTAGTGCACGCGCTGGGTGTACGGTTTAACCATGTCCTGGATGTACGAAGGGCCAGATCCATTCGCAGCATGGTAAGCAAGTACCAGTGTCTTGAAGTGGATTCTAGCAGTTACCGGAAGCCAGTGAAGCGAGCGGAGGAGCGGAGTGGGAAAATGTAGGAAGGTTTGAAGACCAAACGAGCCGCTGCATTCTGGATGAGCTGCAGAGGTCGGCTGGCACATGCAGGTAGACCAGCCAGGAGGGAGTTGCAGTAGTCTAGGCGTGAGATGACGAGAGCCTGGACCAGAACCTGCGTCGCTTTCTGGGTCAGCTGGGGACGTATCTTCCTGATGTTGTAAAGCGTGTATCTGCAGCAACGGGTTGTAGCAGCGATGTTTGCAGTGAAGGACAGGTTGTTATCTAGGGTCACACCCAGATTCCTTGCAGTCTGAGTCGGGGAAACAACTGAGGTGCCGATGTTGATTGTTAGGTCAAGAGTGGGACAATCTTTTCCCGGGAGGAAGAGCAGCTCAGTCTTGTCAAGGTTGAGCTTGAGGGGATGAGCAGACATCCACTGAGAGATATCAGCTAGACAAGCAGAGATGCGTGCGACGACCTGGGTCTCTGAGCGGGGGAAAGGACAGGATTAATTGGGTGTCGTCAGCGTAGCAGTGGTATGAAAAACCATGCGGGCTAATGACTGATCCGAGCGAGTTTGTGTACCAGGGAGAAGAGGAGGGGACCAAGAACAGAGCCCTGAGGGACCCCGTAGTTAATTGACAAGGGTCGGACTCAGACCCTCTCCAAGTAACCCTGTAGGTGCGGTCTTTGAGGTATGAGGTGATGAGGGAAAGTGCAGAGCCTGAAACTCCAAGTTTTTGGAGAGTGCGAAGGAGGATCTGATGATTCACCGTGTCGAATGCAGCAGACAGGTCCAACAGGATGATGACAGAGGAGAGGGATGCAGTTTTGGCAGTGTGCAGTTCCTCCGTGACAGCAATGAGAGCAGTTTCTGTGGAGTGACCTGCCTTGAAACCAGACTGGTGCGGATCCAGAAGGTTGTTCTGATGGAGATAACAGGAGATTGTTTAAAGACAGCGCGTTCAAGTGATTTAGACAGGAACGGGAGGAGAGAGACAGGCCTGTAGTTTATAACATCAGACGGGTTGAGAGTGGGTTTCTTTAGGAGAGGGTTTACTCTTGCCTCCTGAGACTGTTTGGAAAGTGACCAGAAGTTAGAGAAGTGTTGATGAAATGGTGAGAAACGGTAGAATATCAGGAGCGATAGTCTGAAGGAGGTTGAAGGGATGGGGTCCAGAGGACAGGTTGGTAGGGCGGGCAGAGGTAATGAGGGTGAGAACCTCACTTGGAGAGAGAGGGGAAAAGGAGGTAAGTGTGTTGGTGGAAGGAGGGTCTGGTGACCCAGCGGTGAGTAAAGGTGAGTCAGAAAAAGAAGAGCGAATATCATCAACCTTTTTTTCAAAGTGGGTAACAAAGTCGCTTGACAGAAGTGAGGAGGGGGGGGAGGGGCTTTTGGAGGGTCCAAGAGGGTGGAGAAGATGGAGAATAGTTTTTTAGGATTGGAATAGGAAGATTGGATCTTATCTTGAAAGAAAGTGCTTTTTGCCTGAGAGATCGAAGCAGAGAAAGAGGAGAGGAGAGCCTAATAGGTTAGGAGGTCGTCACGGTGTTTGGATTTCCACCGTTTCCGCTCTGCTGCCCTAAGGACGGTTCTATTAGCACGCAGTGCATCATTTAGCCAGGGAGCAGGAGGGGACTGACGAGCCTGCCGAGATGTGAGAGGACAGAGCGAGTCCAGAGTGGATGAGAGAGTAGAGAGGAGAGTTTCTGCAGCAGAGTTTGGAGGTAGGAGTTGGAACGAGTCAGAGGAAGGGAGGGCTGAGAGCACCGACGAGGCAAAGGTAGAGGGGGAGAGGGAACGAAGGTTACGGCGGACAAGTGCAGGATGAGAAGAGATTAGTTTGTTATGTTTGGAAAGGGGTAGAGAGAATGAAATGAAGAAGTGATCGGATGTGTGGAGCGGGTTTACAGAGAGGTTAGAAGTAGCGCAGTTCCTTGAGAATATGAGATCAAGGACATTGCCAGCTTTATGAGTCGGTGGGGATGGAGACAGTTAGAAAGCAAAGGCGGTTAACAGGGATGTTAGTTTGTCTATCTTCCCTGTCTGGAGGTTGAAGTCTCCGAGAAGTACAGCGGGAGGGCCAGTTTCAGGGATGTGTGAGAGGAGATTATCTAATTCCTCCAAGAAGTCCCCCAAGGCGCCTGGTGGACGGTAGATAACAACAATGGTTAACTGTATAGGATGGGTTACTGTGACGGCATGGAATTCAAAGGTGGAAGGAGTGAAGTTAGGTAGCTTGAAGAGGGAAAAGCTCCATTTGGGAGAGAGCAGGAGACCAGTGCCACCTCCTCTGCCAGTTGGTCTGGGTGTATGGGAGAAGGAATATGCAGTGGAGAGAGCTGCTGGGGTGGATGTGTTGGATGGAATAATCCAGGTCTCAGTGAGAGCAAGGAAATCCAGAGACTGCAGGGAGGCGTAGCCAGAGATGAAGTCAGCCTTAGGAACAGCTGACTGGCAATTCCACAGGCCACCTGAAACTAGATGTTGGATCTCAGTGGAGCATGTGGGATAAATGAGAGCAGGCCGGTTATATCGATTAGGAGATACACGGGGCCAGTGATAATTGCGAGAAGACACATGAACAGGAATGGAGAAAATACACATGATTATAGCATGAGGGGTTAGAAAACTAAAGAAAAGAGAAATAAGACACCAGCTCAATCAGAGTAGGATTTGCCTCCCTTGTGACTCCCGTAGGACTCCAATGTCTTTGTCAGTCTTCGGCTGTCTGACGCTCCAGAAATGAGCTACCTAAAATGGACGCCTGATTGCTGAGTTCTCACAGCTGTAGGGCCACGCCCCTCTAATTAGTTAACTATCTACAGCTGATGGGCGACAATAGACTGGCCCTGCCTCTATTGTAATGCAGGCTTGAGTGCTGAGGCCTGTGCAGCAGGTTTCGCCTGAGCAGATCTGAGATTTAAAATCTCTCAAAAGCGCCGTATTAGCTACAATAACTACAGAACAATTATACAGAGTAGAATAAATGAAACAGAGAAGTCTAATTAAACAAGAATATAACTTCCAGTGGTTGCTGCGTCAATAGGTAAAATCTTCACCCGGTCCAGATGCACACTGTACATTATTACTAGCATACTGTATTACTAGCATACTGTATCCCAACCTTCCCAATTTACCTCATCATGTAGAAGGAAGATGGAGGACTTCTCTCTCTGGAGGAGGAGGTTGAAGGTGGAGAAGACTGGCAACGTTGCTTGATAGAAGAGCAGGTACACCTCTGTCATTGGGTTAGAGAATGCTTCCAACAGCCTCCTGAACCTTGGTTGTTTCTCATCTGTGAATAAAAAAAACACAGGTTGTGCATACTACATACATTTACTTTTCAGTCTGTTATAATAATCGTTCGTTCATCTGGATCATTGAAATATGATGCCTACCTGATTACTTGAAGTAGCTGGCCAGTGGTTCATACTGCTGCAGGGTACGAGTCAAACACCTCTCCAGGCTCAACCATCGAATGGAACGTGCATAAGTATTTCCAATACTCGCTTCCATGGAGCTCACAGAATTCTATGACAAGAATGGAACATCTTAATTTCAATTTAATTTAACTCTTCTGAATTTCATTTGGACTGCACATACCTGTCAGGTAACCTTTACGATTGGTGCTTCCTTTAAACCAGTATCCCACATCCACAGTCAGATCCTCTGGATCAAAAGATAGCTACATGTTACTGTTTGATTGATTGAATATTTTATTAGACAGAAATGCAAACAGCACAGGTACAGTACAGTACTGTACATTTCCTTAGCTCATAGTAAGTATCCATTAGATCACACAAGCAAATACGTCATGATTTAACTAACACTGCTATTAGTCACGGGTTGTGTTAAACCCACCGCAGCAAACCTGCCACACTGCTCACCAGCAGCCTGTGTAACGTTAAGTCTCACGTAGTCAGACCCACCGTTGACTTCATCAAAATAAAAATATTTGTACAAATAATGTGGTTACCTACCGTTTGACCTCCCGCTTCAGATGAACATGTCAGTCACGGCATTATTGAAGCGCTGACACAGACATTTCACGTTTACTTTTCGATATCTCCGCCATAGAGTTATGTTGTTCTTCATAGGATAGAGACGCAATGACCCGCCCTAAGCTGCCTCTGATTGGTTTGTATACGTGGTGCCGTTGGTTGGATTTAGCCTCGAGGGCTGATGATTGGTTATCACATATCTCGGTCAGCCAATCGGGGGCAGAATAGGGCGGGCTCACCCTGTCCCTGACTCGAACTACGGCAAGCCTCAAGCAACAAGTTATGGAAATATATCATTAAATAAAAAAATAATTATAAAGTAGTGAGAGGGGGGGAAAGTGTGTGAAATGGCAAGTGTGGCGTGAGGCGTGTGAAGAGGTTACATTGCGTGACTCTCACTCTCAAAGGGTGAGACTTGGCAGCTCTGCACACACACACACACACACACACACACACACACACACACACACACACACACACACACACACACACACACACACACACCACACACACACACACACACACACACAGCCACACACACACACACACACACACACACCACACACCATTTTGTATTGTATTATTGAATGAGAGAGGTTCCAGGTTGAATTGAGGCGAATATTTGTAATGTTCAGAGGTTGTTGTGTTTAATATTCATGAGAATATTTGTCATTGTTCAAATGATAATAAACATTAGCATAAAGCATATTTGTCCACTCATATGTGATAAGAGTATTAAAAACTTGAAAATATTCCTCTAAGGTACATTTAGAACAGATCAAAAAATGTGCGATTAATCGCGATTAACTATTTTAATCGACTGACAGCCCTAATATATATATATATATATATATATATATATATATATATAAGAAGTACTTTATCGATCCCAATGTGGGAAATGTTTGTGTTGCAGCAGCATAAAAATACATGGCATTGTACAGTAAAAATTAAAAGACTAGAAATAAACACGAAAGTAGAAAATATACATGTTGGATTTTCAAATTGACAATAACAAGATATAAAGCAAGTTATTCTATTTACATAAGTATGTGACAGATGAATATTACATATTAATATCCGTTGGGAATCCATTGTTCAGAGAAGAGAAACATAGTTTAATCAGAATCAGAATATTACCAGGTACGAGGAATTTGACTTGATGTCATAATAATAATAATAAAGCTTTATTTATAGCACGTTTCATTCAACGAAATCAGCCCACAGAGAAGACAAATATGGTAATTTCTTTGTTAAAACTGCCATTTATGATCCTGAAAATGTCAGAAATGGACTCAACATCTTCAATTACCCCCCAAACCACTCCTGTCCAAATCGGCCAAGCCATCTTTAACTTATGCTAATTAATGCAACTTGTACTAAGTGTGAACATTGCCCAACATATGCAAGTTTATATCAGGCAAGTTTCTATGTGCTGGGGACCCCTAGTATACATTTCTATCAGAAAACTGTGCGGTAATCAACAGGGTTATGAGTAGACAACTACTATGTGGTACGTTCCTCCTCGCTCTAATTGAATGTGTTTCCTCCAGACGACGTTGAGCCTGCTGAGTTACGACGACCAGGAGCAGGATGAGTTCTCCACGACGGAGAAGGCCTCCTCGTTTCTGAGCGCGATGCAGGAGCAGCAGAACTCTGTGAAGCAGCTGGTGAGTTATTTTGCACTATTTGTTTTTAACCATTGTCTTTATTAAAGGTCACCTATTGTGCAAAATCCACTTCTTCATGTCTTTTCTACATCAACATGTGTCCCCTCTGTGTAAAGAGACTCTAAAAGTGTCTTGGCTTGTGTAACTATTAGCCAATCAGCAACCAAGGTAACCCCCCCCCCCTTATCACCTGAATCTCCTCCTAGAGCACCATTGAGTTATTTGTAACCAAATCTCTCTCAGAGGGGCGTGGGGAGGGGCTCCTTATTTTCATCTAAAGTAACAGACAGAGAATCAGCACTTTGGAAACAGGGCTGAAACAGAGGGGATTATGGGGTAATGCTGCAATGATCTGTTTGGTGTTTCAGCCAATCAGAGACAGGCTCTGTGTATATCTGAGACCTTGGATATATTGATGAAAAACAGTATAATAGGGGACCTTTAATTCCCCAGATTGAAAGACACATCATTTCATATTCTATTCTTGTACATATCAATTTACATGTATATAGACTTTCTGCACTTATTTTTGTGTTTTGTATTTTATTATATATGTAGCATTGTTGGAGGAGCTCAGCTCAGAAAAATTGCATTGCTACACTGTAGCTTTGTGCATATGACAATAAAACCTTTGAATCTTGAAAAACAAACAAATGCTAAAACGGAGGGGACTAATTTATAAATGTTTAGGTTTGTTTTTTGCCCTTTTAATTCTTTATTAGTTATTTTCTCACATTCCCCTTTACATCCATTTGGACTCCAATTTAACAGTTTCGTTAACAAGGGGTCACAACATGTAGAAGGTCTCAAATCCAAGAAATTCAACATGAGAATATGAAAACAAAACGTATAGAACGTAAATAACACAGGTATAACAAATCAAATAAAAGATGGGTTATATATATATATAAGGTCATCCTACATATTACAATAATACAGTCCAATATACTTAGGAAAATATCGATATACCAGAAACATTTCAAAAATAAAAATCATTTCAAAGAAACCATATTGTATTATTTTGGGGTGTTCCACAGTCCAGTTCCTTTTTTAATGCAGCCTTTATAGTCCTTCCATTATTAATGCCAGTTTCCTCCTATTACCTCCACCAATGGTGTCCATCCTTCTTTCAAAATGTCCCTCTGTAATCGTTAGCATATATGTAATTGTTTCCATTGTATACATATTTCTTAGAATTGTCAAACATTCAGCATATTTTTTTAAGCCATCTTATTGTAATCGTTTTTCTTCGCCGCTGTTAGTATTTATTCTAGATTTGACATCTCCTCTCCTCCTAAATGTGTTTGTTGACCAGGTGTTAGCCAACATGACCGCGGCCTACAAACAGGAGAAGAAGAAGAACGCCAAGCGCCGGACGCACAGATCGCCCTCCGTGACTTTCAAACTCTCCGAGCCTCAGTACGCCGCCGGAGACTCGCCCTCGCCAAAGAAACTGAAGGACAGTTTGTATTTATCTTTCCCTGTGGAGCAGATCAGCTCAGAGGACATGAAGACGGAGACGTTAGCTTTTCACTTAGCGTAGCACGACAAAACACACACACACACACACACACACACACACACACACACACACACACACACACACACACACACACACACACACACACACACACACACACATTTGAAACAGAATCCATGGACCGAAAAGGAGAAACAGACATGGATGAGTTCCTCCTTTTATCCCGACAAAAACATTTCCCATGATGATGTTAACTTATTTTTGTCCGCTGTGTTATACGATAGATTTCTAAGCCACAATACTTTTAAATAAAGCCATTGTTTCGTTGTGTAGACTGTTATTACCTGATGATCATCATGCTATAAGAGAGAAACTCCCTCCACTCAGAACCAGAATGGGATTAGATTTACGTGGTGATACAGAGACACAGAAAGAAGAATACGTAGCAAATCAAATAAAAGTAGGACAGCTATTTTAAAAACTATAACAAATTAATAATATTTACATATGACCAATACTATATTTGAAGCACAACACCTCCTCACATACGATGCGATAATACTTGAGACGTTGAGATCAAGTCTCTTCCTGCTGAGATCCACAATAAAAACTCACCTGTTCACCATGACCTTTTCAAGATTCAAGATTACATTCTTTATCATCATGTGCTCAGCAGCTACAGTGTAGATATGTCAATGAAAAACGTCCTCCTCCAACAGAGCAACATGAATATATATATATATATATATATATATATATATATATATATAGGACATAAAACTAATAAAATAGTGCAAGAGAATGTTTGGAGATGTGCAAGTAAATACAAATAAAATAGAAGAGTCTACAAGTAAATGGAATTATATAATGGATAAATAATTTACAAAATGGGTCCCTTGAAAGGCGCTAAATAAATAAAAAATATTGTTATTATTATTTAAAGGAGGCAGTGCGGAGAGGAAATGTGCGACGTGCAGGATTTACATGCATCATGTTATTATGGGGCGGATAACAGTCAGTGTCAGTGGGTGGGGGGTCGATACTTGTACATGAGGAGAGTAGAAGAGGGGAAGAAGCTGTTCAGGTGGAGAGAGGTTTTGGTCCTGATCGTTTGTGTCCAAAAAAAAAAGGTGTAAAATTGCTCTTAAATCAAAAGAGGTTGCATTAATAAATCTAACTTGCCTTGAGCTGCAGGAACAGTGTAGTAATTGGAGTCTCTGTATTTGTTTGTGGATATATACACACAAAAAGCTGTATAGACGAAATCTATAATGAGATATATATTTTTAGATAATTTGAATTGAAATTTAGACTGAACAATACTAAAAAAAATACAAAATATCTGAATAAAAAGGTAAGAGCAGAGGGATTTTAATTATGTATAAACATATATTTCATTTGGTGAAGGTCCGAATGTTTGTCATTTTAAAGAATGTATTAACAATAAATTAAATTAATAAACACCAAGATTTTAATGTATTTTCTTTTAATTTGATAATTAAGCTTGTTTATTTTTGTAAGTGTTTAAATAAGAGTATATTGAGCAGTTGAGAACATATCTGAAATGTTTGTACATTTAGATTTTTTAAAAAATAACAATAGAAGTAATAATTGACTTGGTGAGCGAGAATCCTCTCCCTCAAAAAAAAAAAAATAGACCTTTTTTTTGCACTTTTTGTTGTATGTGCTTTTTCCCAGCGGCTCATGAACGCTCACCAGGTGGGAGGAGCCACGTGATGTTCACTTTCGCAATAACTGACGTCATAGAGGTAAAACAGAAACGGGGGTATCACTCTGTCTCATTTTCCGTGAATAAAAACTACTTCAGAGTTGATGTTTAAGACATGGCAGTTTCAGAGAAAGATTACAAATATATTTCTAGTTTTCAATCGACCATCAGGTACGAAAGCACAAGTGTGTGAAGTGTACTTTCGGTCATTTATGGAGGGTAGCTAAACCTTTTCTCTTGTTTTAAGGTGGCTGAATTCATATATAAACTTTAAAGATAAAACAGATGCCAAGTTCCATTTTAAAATGCTGGGGGAAAAGTACTCAGATCTTGTACCAAAGTGTAGGAATATTCTGTTACAGAAAAAGTCCTGCATTCAAGATGTTACTCAAGTAAAAGTAGAAAAGTATGATCATTAAAATAGAGTTAAAGTAGCGACAGTAAAAGTAGTCATTTTAACGGAGTATTCCTACACTCTGAGCTGAGTACTTCTTATTTTATTCAAGTACAAGAGCTGAGTACTTCCTATTTTACTCAAGTACAAGATCTGAGTACTTCTACTTTTACTCAAGTACAAGAGCTGAGTACTTCTACTTTTACTCAAGTACCAGATCTGAGTACTTCTACTTTTACTTAAGTACACGATCTGAGTACTTCTACCTTTACTGAAGTACCAGATCTGAGTACTTCTACTTTTACTCAAGTACAAGAGCTGAGTACTTCTACTTTTACTGAAGTACCAGATCTGAGTACTTCTACTTTTACTCAAGTACAAGATCTGAGTACTTCTACTTTTACTTAAGTACACGATCTGAGTACTTCTACCTTTACTGAAGTACCAGATCTGAGTACTTTTACTCAAGTACAAGATCTGAGTACTTTTACTCAAGTACAAGAGCTGAGTACTTCTACTTTTACTCAAGTACCAGATCTGAGTACATCTACTTTTACTAAAGTACACGATCTGAGTACTTCTACCTTTACTGAAGTACCAGATCTGAGTACTTCTATCACCTCTGATGAAGTATATCTTATCTTATATTTTTTCCTTCGGGATAAACAAAGTATTCTGACTTTGATTCAGAGTGTGAATGATCTTATCGTAGACGATCTTTGATACCAGTGTTCCGGTGGGCTCTCTCTTTAAGCTAACTTATCTCAGATATACAGAGAGATATAAATACATGCTGTTTTTTTAGGGTGCCTTATATGTAAGCTGCTCTTTATTTATTAAGTAGGAAGCCTGTGTCTTTATGTAATGCTCTGTGTGGATCTTAAGGTATTTAATAACAGGAACGCGTGTGAAACTCACCTGCTGCCAGCTCTCCTACTGTGCTAGTGAATGTAGTATTTCTGTTATTAATGGACAATCATCTACAGAACTGTAATATTTACATGTAGCTCTTTATTGTGAGATGTATCTGGTATTCCCCCTGTAGCCACCAGCCGCTAAAGACCGGAAACACGTCTCCTTCAAAATAAAGGTATTTGACCTATTGATAAAAAGTTATTATGAGGGAGAAGTACACAGATCTTGTACTTGATTAAAAATAGAAGTACTCAGATCTTGTTGTAAAAGTAGAAGTACTCAGATATTGTACTTGAGTAAAAGTAGAAGTACTCAGATCTTGTAGTAAAAGTAGAAGTACTCAGATCTTGTAGTAAAAGTACTCAGATATTGTATTAAAAGTAGAAGTACTCAGATCTTGTACTTGAGTAAAAGTAGAAGTACCAGAGTGTAGGAATACTCTGTTACAGTAAAAGTACTGCATTCCTCAAGTAAAAGTAGAAAAGTATTATCATCAAAATATAGTTAAAGTAGCGACAGTAAAAGTAGTCATTGTGCAGATTGGTCCATTTCAGAATAATATATATATATAATATATAATTATTGATGCATTATATTCTGCTTATTTGGGGTTTTTCCTCTCCTGTAGTGTGTTCTATAGGTTGTACTGCATGCAAATGGTCTGCAGAGGCTACAATCAATAAATAGAAAAATAACTCTTAGAGTCCAATCAGCACTTATAATACCTTCCTGTATTTTCTCCCCTGTTTGTCAGCAATGTCTACATATTTAAATGTAATAAAAAGTAGACTTTGCAATACAAAAACCAGACAACTGTTTTTCAGGAAAAAAAACGTTAAAATTGAAACCCATTGTGTCAAATCCTAATAGCAATAACTTCCTGTATGTTGGGAAAACACTGAGTGTCCTCTTCCAATATCAGAGTCCACATGATAACAAAGGTATCCCAACTGTAGCTGTGTTCATGACAGGATGTGTGATTACCTAGAAGAGCATCAGGACTGTTTGAGGCATATGATAGCTATGTGATTAACATGATGATTCAGCCTCTATGGAGAGAGACATCAAGCATGCTCATTTCTGACGTGGATCTGAAGTAAACATTGAATACTGCTTTCTATTCCTCCATCTTGTGACTGTGCAACTCCCTCTCTTGGATATCAGCATGTGAAGGACACTGTTCAGGAACTAGTTGATGCTCTGTATGTGATGACTACTTCCATTCTGGAGAGGATCACAGATACATGGATCCTGAGATTGAAGCTCAAGCCGGTGACGAGTGAGATTTCTCTAACACTGTATTTTCTCCCTGTGTGTCAGCATGGGCGTTAAAGTATCACTGATCCTCGCGGTGCTCTTCATCCTCCTGGACCTCATCCTCACTACCGTCCTCTTCACACAAGGCTCTCACTGGAGCGTCTTCAGGGAGGAGGCGCTGAACTTTGACCTCCTGAGTTCAGTGTTGGACCTGTGGGGGTGCGTGCTGCTGCGGGCCCCCCTGCTGCTGGGAGCCTGCATCGGGGTGTCCTGGAACAAACAAGATGGCCCCCCGAGGGTCTCCACACTCTCCACCCCCGTGCTGCTCCTCTGCCTCGTCATCATCACCTTCGCCCTGGCCAAGATGCTGATGCTGTCCGAGCAGGAGCCGCTAACCCAGGTAAACACAGAGAACATAGAAACTGCCGGATGCTAACTTAAAGGTCTCCTATCATGCAAAATGCACCTTTTTATATCTTTTATACATCACTATGTGTCCCCGGGGTGTCAGAAGACTCACAAAGTGATGTATTTTATACATTGTGTCCCCGGGGTGTCAGGAGACTCACAAAGTGATGTCTTTTATACATCACTATGTGTCCCCGGGGTGTCAGGAGACTCACAAAGTGATGTATTTTATACATTGTGTCCCCGGGGTGTCAGGAGACTCACAAAAAAAACAAGAAAATAAAACCCCCCTCTTTTCCTCCGTACCCAAATCTCTAAAAACGGGGGAACAACGGAGCTGATCCAGATTTGCTGCCGATTTGACGACATTACTAAAATGAGGGCTGGCTTTACATCCACGGCACTATCAGAAAGGTTGCTATCAGAAACAATGCCTGACGTGTTTTGGACGTAATATGGTCTGTGTTTTCGTTAGCATCGCTAACACTCAGAGCTAACCATACTGGAGAGAGTGTGAAGAAGCAGGAAATAAAAATGAAGTCACCTTGTGGTAAACCTGAGAGAGAGAAAGAGTTTGAGCTCCATACTGTTTCAGAAATAATCCTTGATGTGGTTTGGAACATGATATGGAGTTTAATCACGGCAGCATTTAGCTGAGTTTCTGCTGCTAGAATTCTGAGCAGGCATTAGCTCCCCCTCCTCTTTTTTATATATGTTTTTAAAGCTAAGGACCCAGAATCAGAGCTTCTCTAACGGGGCTGAAATAGAGGGATTTGAGGCTAGAATGTGTGATCTGTTTGGTACACCTCATAGACATGTTTTTATAAATCTGTATCTGAGACCTATAATTCCTAGAAATAGTATAATAGGACACCTTTATATATGTTGGACAATAAGCATAAGTTGTATTAATTAGCATTAGTTAACATGCCGATTTGTACAATTCTGATGTTGTTTTTGGAGGTTCTTGATGATGTTGAATCCATTTCCGACATTTTTAGGATCCAAAATGTCAGTTTTGAGTCCCCTAAAATTTTTAATTCATCAAATCAGCCCACTGGGAGTGCAACTATGTCCACCAGCTTCCCTCTGTCATACTGATACCACATCTTTAGTCTTATTTTATTTATTCTTTCTTATTATCACTGTGTATATTCTCATGTGTACTACCTGTGTTTCTGTCGTGCTCTGGATTTCCCTACGGGGATCAATGAAAGTCAATTTGATTTTATCTCATCTTATCTTTCCAGCAGCCCTGGTTTCTGAGCCTCATCTGCTGGACCTGCGTCTCCTCTCTGCTCGTGGTGCTGATCTGGAATCAGATCGGGAAGAAGGAGGCGGGGAAGAGTCCAGACAGAAGCAGCAGAAGAGGATGTGAGGCAAGTTTACAATCACTCTGCACTTTTTCCCTTCTGGTTAGACGATAACTGCATTTCAATCAGAAGAGACGTGATGTATGGAATACATGTTTATTATCGGTCACATTATATAAATGAAACATAATGATGACAGTTTATAACAAGTGAATGAAATGGTGTTTTGGCGATTAGGCCCAGGTTTTGTAGGATATCAATCGGGAAGGGAAAGAACCGTTTCCGATGAACCCCCCTGGGTCTAGACACTGGTGGTGGTGATAAGTGGTTAGGTCCGGTTGGAAGGGAGAAGGTTAAGCTTGGCCCTGAGTTGGAAGCAGGAGGCGAAGGGGTGGAGGAGGGTTGCGCGTTGACACCTGGAAGACAGCTGATAGAAAAGGGGAGAGCATATATAGAGGGATTAACAGGTGCGATAATTAGGCTTGTGAATGGAGGGAAGTGATAGGTTAGCTGAGGAGTGGCGCTCCCTGTCATCTAGTGAAGGGAGCGAGTATTGCCATGACGTGCAATACGGAGTGATAGGTCTTCCTGCCTGAACTTGCGCTAAGCTTCATTTCATTGTCTTTGTACTTCAAAAGATTCAAGATTCAAGGCTTTTATGGTCATTCGTACATAGCTAGAGTTTAGTTATGTAGATGAAAATCTGAAGTCACAGGCTCCTCCAACAGTGCAACACAATAAAACAGATAAAATAGTGCAAGTAAATACAATAAAATAGAATAGAAGTAGTGCCTTAAGAGTCTATATACAAGTGATACATAATTTGTAAGTTGCAAACAAATTAATGTTCTGGATGTTGTTAGTTCTGGTGTTTAACAGTCTTATGGCCTGTGGAATGAAACTTGTACTCTGTTCAATGACAATAAAGTTGAATCTTATCTAATCTAATATAGAATAACACAGGTATAAAACATACGATCAAAAGCTACAGTGGAGTGTAAGATATGAATAGTTCAATTAAAAGCAGCGGCAAAAAGACAAGGATTTCTAGCGCTGCAGATAGCTGTTACAATCTTTCCGAAGAGGAAACAAGTACCAAAATGTCCATGTTAATCCCTCTGGGGCCATTTTACTTAAAAAAGCCTGTTAGCCACTTTTCTAAATTTCGACCATTTCCAAGTTGGCTGCCATTTCCAGCCGAGGAAGCAGTATTTTCCCACAGAACTTTAACCAATGGAACAATTTCAGGGGTTTTGGAATTTAATTATAGGCTTAATTTATACTGGGGACGCTGAGGACATGTCCCCACCACTATTGGAAATGGCCAATTTGTCCCCATTACTTTGCATTGGGATAAGTTGTTAAAGATGTTCTGAAAATAGCGTGCACAAAGACTTGTACACTATGAGAACATCTGGAGGACTTTTTGGATGTATTTCTGGCAACCCAAGTGGTGCTGTTTGGACCTGCGACACGTTTAATATTAGTAGTAATTTAAAAGAGAATAGTAAAGCAATTGCAGTTGTTAAAAAAGGATAGTAAGAATATGTATGTACATTATATGTATTGTTTGCGGGGGGCGCTTAATGCAGTACTGTTTTTTAAATCTGCAAAAAGTGTCCCCACCACTTTTACTAACAAAGTGCATCATGCATTGTTTATCACTGTGGGCAAGTCACATTTACTGTTTAGAAAAACTTCTCTTGAGCTTTTTCATGTCTTTTTAAACACAAAATGTAAAAATGTGGGGCTTAGGAGAAAGCATTTGGGACTCTAAACCACATTGATACTAAAACTAGTCTTCCATGTCAGCAGAATTAGTTAGCAGAGACTGAACACCATGATGTCAGCAGTACTGCCACTACTACTGCACTGCTTCACCCCATAATACCTCCAACACCTCCAACACCGTGCATATTAGGCTACCCAGTTGTCCATTGGCAGGTGTGTTTTTTTTATAGTATGGCAAAGACATGGTAAAAAGAAGCTTCTGAGACCTGAATTTGGTTCCCACTTGGTCAGAAGTGTATGATTTGACACCAAGATAATTTATAAAGGGCGAGTGAAAGTGATTTTATGGTAAAAAAAGACATTTCCATTTAAAGAAATGTTAGCTTTTTAGTGGCTAACGGGCATTTTGAAAAGAGTAACCTCAAAAGAGTTTGAGTGCCAATGTTAGTACTTGTATCTGAACATTTTCCCTGGTGTTTTCAATTATCTGCAGCACTATTAAAAGTATTAGTTGCAGCGACCTGATCCAGTTATGTGGAGCATAATATATATATATGTTTATATTTAGAATCAGTAATATTTATTTGTATCAATATGACACTGCTTAAGTTTGTATAGTATAATAATTATCATGTTTCATTTCATTATTTTTATTATTTTTTTATTTTTTATTATTGTTTTACACATTTGAATCAAATCAAATCATAACTGAACGCTGTTTCTCCAGGACACTGAGAAGCTGGTGGGAAGAGCTGAGGTGGAGAGTGAGAGGAAGAAGGAGGAAGAGGAGGAGGAGATGAAGAGTGGATCTGGGGCGACACTGGGACGTCTGCTGTCTTACTGCAGGAAGGACGGAGGGCTGCTGTCTGTCGCCGTCCTCTTCCTCCTCGTCTCCGCTGTGTGTGAGTCTGCTTCTCATACAAAACCTTAAAGATGGGAAATGTGGGAAAGATCCAACATCACAATATTCATTCACCAAATACCTCGATATTGGATTATATTATTTTACTAAATGTTTAATTTTGGCTTGAACACAGCTAGAAGCTAATGCTAACTAGCTCTCCTGCTAATTTGAACCCTGATTTGTTGAAATCTCAATATCAGACTCCAGCAACACACTCTCACTCCATAAACGTCCAGGAGCGACGTTTGGTCAGGGTCCCCGAGGCGTGCAGTTGTGACGCTCCTAGGCTCATTCAGCTTCATAAAGGGGCGCAAATAGCTTTCAACTGATTTCAATGTATTCCCATCTGCGGCGGGATTTGACGCTCATGGAAGCACGGCAAAATACCTCATGAAAGACGACACAGGAAGTGAGGATACCCGGCCCGGAGGAAGCCCGGGGTCCCCTTCTGGAGCCAGGCCCAGAAGGAGGACTCGTCGGCGAGCGTCTGGTTGCCGGGCTTGCCACGGAGCCCGGCCGGGCCCAGCCCGAAAAGGCAACGTGGGCAACACCTCCGCTTCTCCGTCCCGCGGGCCCACCACTTACGGGAAACAGCGATGGGGTTGGGTGCGCTGCCAGCAGGGTGGCAGTGAAAGCGGAGGGTCTCGACGGACCAGACCCGGGAGACAGAAGCTGGCTTTGGGGACATGGAACGTCACCTCTCTGGGGGGGAAGGAGCCGGAGCTTGTGCGGGAGGTGGAGCGTTACCAGTTGGATCTGGTTGGGCTCACCTCTACGCACAGCGTCGGCTCTGGAACCTTACTTCTGGATAGGGGTTGGACTCTATTCTTCTCCGGAGTTGCTCAAGGTGTGAGGCGCCGGGCGGGTGTGGGGATACTCACAAGTCCCCGGTTGGGTGCTTCGTTGTTGGAGTTTACCCCAGTGGACGAGAGGGTCGCCTCCCTACGCCTGCGGGTTATGGGGGGGGGAACTCTGACTGTTGTCTGTGCTTATGCACCCAACGGCAGTTCAGAGTATACGGCCTTCTTGGAGACCCTGGAGAGAGTCCTGTATGGGGCTCCTGAAGGGGACTCTTTAATCTTGCTGGGAGACTTCAACGCACATGTGGGCAATGATGGAGACACTTGGAGGGGCGTGATTGGGAGGAACGGCCCCCCTGATCTGAACCGGAGTGGTGGTTTGTTACTGGACTTCTGTGCTAGTCATGGATTGGCCATAACAAACACCATGTTCAAACATAAGGATGCTCATAAGTGTACGTGGTACCAGAGCACCCTAGGCAGAAGGTCCATGATCGATTTCGTTATCGTATCATCGGACCTGAGGCCGTATGTTTTGGACACTCAGGTAAAGAGAGGGGCGGAGTTGTCAACTGATCACCATCTGGTGGTGAGTTGGGTCGAGTGGCGGGGGAAGCCTCTGGATAGACCTGGTAAGCCCAAACGTGTAGTTCGGGTGAACTGGGAACGTCTGGAGGAGGCCCAAGTTCAGGAGGCCTTCAACTCACACCTCCGGCGGAGCTTTTCGGGCATTCCTGTGGAGGTTGGGGACATTGAACCAGAGTGGTCGGTGTTCAAAGCCTCTATTGCCAAAGCCGCGGCGGGGAGCTGTGGTCTCAAGGTCCTAGGTGCCTCAAGGGGCGGTAACCCTCGAACCTCCTGGTGGACACCGGTGGTCAGGGAAGCCGTCCGACTGAAGAAGGAGGCCTTCAGGGATTTGTTATCCCGGGGGACTCCCGAGGCAGTTGCAAGGTACCGACAGGCCCGAAGGGCAGCAGCCTCATCCGTGACCGAGGCAAAGCAGCGGGTGTGGGAGAAGTTCGGAGAAGACATGAAGAAGGACTTTCGGGCGGCACCAAAGTTGTTCTGGAAAACTGTCCGACACCTCAGGAGGGGGAAGCAGGGAACCATCCAAGCTGTGTACAGTAAGGATGGTACGTTGTTGACCTCAACTGATGGAGTGTTAGGGCGTTGGAAGGAACACTTTGAGGAACTCCTGAACCCGACAACTCCGCCCTCTATGTTAGAGGCAGAGCTGGAGTATGACGGGGGATCAACACCAATCTCCCGGGGGGAGGTCACTGAGGTCGTCAAACAACTCCGCAGTGGCAAAGCCCCGGGGGTGGATGAGATCCGCCCAGAAATGCTGAAGGCTCTGGGTGTTGAGGGACTGTCATGGTTGACACGTCTCATCAACATTGCGTGGAAGTCGGAAACAGTACCGAAGGAGTGGCAGACCGGGGTGGTGGTTCCCCTTTTTAAAAAGGGGGATCAGAGGGTGTGTGCCAATTACAGAGGCATCACACTACTCAGCCTCCCCGGGAAAGTTTACTCTAAGGTACTCGAAAGGAGGGTCAGGCCGATTGTCGAACCTCAGATTGAGGAGGAACAATGCGGATTCCGTCCTGGTCGTGGAACGACGGATCAGCTTTTTACTCTCGCAAGGATCTTGGAGGGGGCCTGGGAGTACGTTTATCCGGTCTACATGTGTTTTGTAGACTTGGAGAAGGCGTAAGACCGAGTTCCCAGGGAGTTACTGTGGGAGTATGGGGTGAGGGGGTCTCTACTCAGGGCTATCCAATCTCTGTACTCCCAAAGCGAGAGCTGTGTCCGGGTACTCGGCAGTAAGTCGGACCCATTTCCGGTGAGGGTTGGCCTCCGCCAGGGCTGCGCTTTGTCACCAATCCTGTTTGTAATATACATTGATCGGATTTCGAGGCGTAGTCATGGGGGAGGGGGTCTGCAGTTCGGTGGACTAAGGATTGCACCACTGCTTTTTGCAGATGATGTGGTTCTGATGGCTTCATCGGTCTGCGACCTTCAGCACTCACTGGATCGGTTCGCAACCGAGTGTGAAGCAGCTGGGATGAGGATCAGCACCTCCAAATCTAAGGCCATGGTTCTCAGCAGGAAACCGATGGACTGTCCACTCCAAGTAGGGAATGAGTCCTTACCCCAAGTGAAGGAGTTCAAGTATCTCGGGGTCTTGTTCTCGAGTGAGGGAACAATGGAGCGTGAGATGGGCCGGAGAATCGGAGCAGCGGGAGCGGTACTGCAGTCGCTTTACCGCATCGTTGTGACGAAAAGGGAGCTGAGCCAGAAGGCAAAGCTCTCTGTCTACCGGGCCATTTTCGTTCCTACCCTCACCTATGGTCATGAAGGATGGGTCATGACCGAAAGAACGAGATCGCGGATACAAGCGGCCGAGATGGGTTTTCTCCGCAGGGTGGCTGGTGTCTCCCTTAGGGATAAGGTGAGAAGTTCGGTCATCCGGGAGTGACTCGGAGTTGAGCCGCTCCTCCTTCGAGTCGAAAGGAGCCAGTTGAGGTGGTTCGGGCACCTAGTTAGGATGCCACCTGGGCGCCTCCCTAGGGAGGTGTTCCAGGCACGTCCAGCAGGGAAGAGACCAAGGGGTAGACCTAGGACCAGGTGGAGGGATTATATCTCTTCGCTGGCCTGGGAGCGCCTTGGGATCCCCCAGTCAGAGCTGGTTGATGTGGCCAGGGAAAATAAAGTTTGGGGCTCTCTGCTGGAACTGCTATCCCCGCGACCGACCACGGATAAGCGGGAGAAGATGGATGGATGGATGGATGGATGGAAGCACGGCATTCGTTTGTGTCAGCTGCCCGTAAAGGCAATGTGAGCGTCGATTCCCATTGGATAACGGGGAATTGTACACCCGGAAGTAAGTATTCTCCTTACTGTCGATTGATTTTACAGTGATATCTGCACTACTTATCGACTAAAAAACACCAGATTATCCTTGTTAATTACACAACATTGATTGGTTTAAATTGTGTGCAATGCTTTTGTATTTTTCTCCTTCGATTCGGAGAAACAAATATTTTTTCGGAGTAAAGGATGGCAGAAGACACTACACTACCCAGAATCCCCAGCTATCGTTTAGGACTACACCATGTGCTCTGTTTGACAAGCCCTGTGATTAGTTCTCAAGCTCTGTGATTGGTTGACCTCCAACTGCATTCCATTCATTCCAGTGGCTGGCGTCTATGTCAAGTGATCTTCAAATTTCTCCCTGCAGAAAAAAAAAAACATTTGCCTCCTGTAACAAGAGATCATTTGAGGCAGTGCAGTGGACAAAGACATAAGTCAGATACTTCTTACTTTGTTTGTTAAAGGTGTCATTTTATCTTCAAATTGTACATGCGTCTTTCAAGTCTGTCATTAGTGTTACTCATTGCATAGCCCTAGGGGTGAACATTTGAATGGGAAAACGTATTGTATTGAAGAGTTAAACGATTTTGATATTGACTGAAGCCATATTTGGTCTGACACATTGCAGCCATTTTGTTAAAATGGTAGTGTTTTCTCCAAATTGTCACTGGTGTTACCGTCACTGGTGTTACTCTTCTTCCTGGTAACACGTAACACCAGTGCCATTCCTATACAAATAAGCTTTGTATAAAGTATAAAAATAATACAAATATTTTAAGCTCTATTTGTTGTGGATTCATCAAGTTAAGAGTTAGTTATTGCTATTCAACAGGTTTTAGATGTTTTTAGAAGGAATATATCTCAGCAGATTTGTATCACCCAGAGTCCACCTTTTCTGTAGAATGACCCATCTATGCCACAATTTTAGATGCGGATTTTGTTAAATTAATACGTTTGCGCTGTGGACCAACACTATACATTGACGGGGAAGGGGGTAGCAATAAAGATAACACCATTAAACAGTTACACAACATAACAGAAATAATATCGATAGCAGCGTCCCTAGCAACCACCTTGGTAACAATGAAAACATTGTATGGACACAATTTCCTGAAGTAATCTTCGTAATAACTAGCAAACTAAAGATCATGTACATCCACTGCACACATAATCTGAAATAACAACTCATATTTCTCGCATCAAATGACATCAAAACGCATTTTAATGGCCAAACTAACTTTAAAATAGGCATTTTCCACCGAGAATAAAACGAAGTTCGGCCATGTTTTTTTTTTCTGCAGGGAGAAATTTGAAGATCACGTGACATAGCCAGCCATTGGAATGAATGGAATGCAGTTGGAGGTTAACCAATCACAGAGCTTGAGAACTAATCACAGGGCTTGTCAAACAGAGCACATGGTGTAGTCCTAAACGATAGCTATAGCTGTGGATTATGGGTAGTGTAGTGTCTTCTGCCATCCTTTACTCCGAAAAAAAATGTGTTTCTCCGAATCGAAGGGGAAAAATACAAAAGCATTGCACACAATTTAAACCAATCAATGTTGTGTAATTAACAAGGATAATCTGTTGTTTTTTAGCCGATGAGTAGTGCAGATATCACTGTCAAACAGTGTTGTGCTAGTTACTGAAAACCAGTAACTAGTTACCATTACTAGTTACTTCATTTCAAAAGTAACTCAGTTACTTTACTGATTACTTACACCGAAAAGTAATGCGTTAACTTTTTGTTTACTTAAAAAAAGGGCTCCCATTAATGCCCTTATAGCCTTCATTTCAGTACTGTTATTGCATTGGAGAATAATACAATCTGTTGATCAACTTGACATGCATTATATGCAATCTGGATTGCATCGATATTAGCTGGCTTTCCATTTTTGTATATTCTTTCTCCAGGTAGTTGGAAAAAGTTTTCCGTCCCATATGCCGTGTGCCGCCCGGACATGCTATCATGCTAACTAGCTCCCTGAAAGCGGGTGACTCCACTGTAGCAATAGCCTGCATGTGTTCTACAACATACCGTGCAATGGCTTTATCGACTTTTCCCTGGCTAGCAGTCCCTTGGTTAAAATCCAGCCGCTGTTGCTTAGGTGGAGGTGGAGTGGCGTCGGCTGAGTCTGGGTCTGTGCCGGTCTTAGTAGCTTCGTCCCAGCATGTTGTTTTTGCAGATGTTTTAAGAGATTTGAATGACTGGTTTGGGCAGTAGATAGGATCTTTGACCTGCCAAGACACAACTTACATTTAACAGAAACGTTCTTTTCTTTGTGCTCGACAAAAGTGAAATAGTGAGAATATCTCCAGGTGGAGAAACTAGACTTGAGCTCCGCCGCCGCCATGATAGTCTTGTTAGTAAACAACACAAACACGCCCACAGCCCGTCTCCGCATGTGACACAGGAAGTATTTAAGTACATTTACTCAAGTACTGTACTTAAGTACAGTTCTCATCTCTGTTCGCCTGGCTGTTGACTATATAAAAAAACGAACGGAGTAACGCACCATGTAGTAACGGTAACTGAGTTACTGAATTAAAAAAAGTAATGCGTTAGAGTACTAGTTACTGCCAAAAATAACGGCGTTACAGTAACGCGTTACAACACTGCTGTCAAATCAATCGACAGTAAGGGGAATACTTACTTCCGGGTGTACAATTCTCCGTTATCCAATGGGAATGGACGCTCACATTGCCTTTAAGGGCAGCCGACACAAACGAATGCCATGCTTCCATGAGCGTCAAATCCCGCCGCAGATTGGAATACATTGCAATCAGTTGAAAGCTATTTGCGTCCCTTTATGAAGCTGAAGGAGCCTAGGAGCATCAAAACTGCACGCCTCGGGGACCCTGACCAAACGTCGCTCCTGGACGTGAGAGTGTTGACCCCAGAGCTGGGATATGAAGAGAAATATCACAATATATTTTTTCTTTAACCAAATACCTTGATGTTGAGACGATTTTTTAGGATTTAAATATATTTACACAATAATATTTTGATAGATTATCTTCAGTCATGTGCATTTAATGACCCTTTTGTCACCAAAAACAACATTTTTACAAGATTACCATGAACACATCTGGATAAAGTTAGAATTTCCCTTGAACTCATCAAAGTGTCATTCAATGTTAATGCTGTTAGCTGTTATTAAACCTTAAGGACTGTGTGCTAACTTAAAGCAAATGACTAACAGCTAATGCTAACTAGCGCTGTTTTCAACCCTGATTTGTTAGTTTTGCTGAGAACGGCTTGAACGCATCAGCATGTAATCGAATGCAACCTCCGTTAGCTGTTAGCTATGAGCTATTAGCTGTTATTTAACCGTCCGCACTCTGCTGCACACTGTCTGCTAATACACAACAGCTAATGCTAACTAGCTCTCCTGCAGATTTCCACCCTGATTTGTTGAAATATAAAGAGAAATATCACAATATTTTTTCCAAATACCTCAATATTACATGTTTTAAATATTCAACCAATGACATTTTGATGAATAATGTAGCTAACAGCTAAGGGAGGTTGCATTAAACTAGACGCGTTCAAAGCACACTCTGCAAAATGTAATATTGGGGAAGGGCGAATTCTAAAGTTATCAAGATGTGGTCAATGTTATCTTGTGAAATGTAGTTTTTGATGAGAAAGGGTCATCATTTTTCAGCGCGGCAGTGCTCAGGGTTTAATATGTCTCTAGAAGCGGTTACAAAGGATTGCAACTGGGTTTAATTACTGGGTGTATGATTGTGTTACTCATCACAGATTACACAACACTCAATGACTAACTCAATGTCGAAATGTAAGTGTTGGTGGATTTTGTTTACCAAGGCTGTCCTCAAGTAAAGAAACACTTACTCGACTAACACTCATTTGATTTAGACAACTGATGAATCACTTTATTTCATTTATCCATTATGCCAGTACTTTCTCATTCATGGGGGGATTAAAAGAGATTTCCAAAACCCCTTCTGGAAAACCTTTGACTATAATATGAGAACTTTATCCTATGTTCACATTTATGTTCACTATATTTGAAAGAGTCCCTTCCCCGCTCATTTTCAGGTTCTTATCAGTATATAATGTCTCTACTGAGACATGTCTCCATGCTTTTGTTTGGGAGAGAAACTCCCTCTGGAGGAATCACAGGGATTTTATCCTTTGCAGACCGTTGACATGCACTAAAACCTGTAGAACAAACTACAGGAGAGGGAACACCTCAATAAGCATTATAGGGCGTCTTTAAAACATGAATATCTCTACAGGGAATCTTAAAAAGGACCACTTAAAGCTTGTCTTTACCAGAGTTGTGGTCATCAGTTTCCTTCAGCATGAAAATGACAATTAAAAAAGTTATTGTTATACAAAGAAATCTTATTTAACCAAGACCAAAACGTCCGATTAGTCGATTAATTCACTAAAAGGAAGAAAAACAATGTTTTTTGTTTTTTTGCAGAGACGTAATAAAATAAACAGACTGAGAGATCAGGACAGAGCAAAGTGGATTTATTGTTGAAGATTGTGAGAAGCTGACCATTGAGCGGCCCAGACCAAGCAAGGAGGCAGAGGCAGAACGTCCAAAAATATAACCCGACGTGGGCATTTATTAAAATCATGTGCACAAAGTTCACAGCCTCAATCCTGCTGTTCTCCTTGCACACATCCTGCAGCCACAAGGATCTCACACACCCTACCAGCCTCAAGGATCTCACACACACTACCAGCCTCAAGGATCTCACACACACACTACCAGCCTCAAGGATCTCACACACACTACCAGCCTCAAGGATCTCACACACCCTACCAGCCTCCCAACAGACAGGGAAACAGAGCCTAAATACACACTCTCTAATCAGCACAACAAGACACAGGTGAGGGGGGAGGAGACAACACAGGACACCAGGTGCACACAATCAACGGCAACAGACATGGGGAAAGGGGAACACATTTCAAAATAAAATACAATAAACACAACATCAATAAATAGTATAAATTGTATAAAAATGCCCGAAGCCGTCAGTTCACAGTGACGAAGTTACCTTCGTCACAAAGATATATTGCATAATATGCAGTTTATGACTTATATTATAAGTCATTTCATACACTTTAAAAGAAAGCTCCATTACATGTCCCTGCACCTTTAAAGTGACTCCTAACATTATAAAAACGTTATAATTGATTATTCTGCAGATTATACTTTGACTCATAATCATTAATGGTGTATATCAAAATATCCATTATTTGACCCATTCTAACCAAACATGTTCTCAATCCTCCATGTTCATCACATAAAACAAAGTAAAGCATCAAATCACCGCAATTAAGTGGCTAGAAAGATATCTTGGATTTATTAAACGTTTTATAAATTACAATGTACTAATATAGGTGACGATTTATTTTTATTGTCAATCAAACTCTGAAGTCATTATGAAACCTATTGTTTTATTTATTTTGTATTTTTTTTAATTATAATTCAAATTATTATTATTCGTTTATTTATTTATGTAATTAGTTTATTTTAAAGGGTTCAAAAAAAAGTTACCCTAGTGTTGCTTTTTGTTTCAAAGTCACCCCAAAAAATAAAAGATTTAAAAACGTTTTTTAACTTTGAATTGATGATATGGAATATCAGAACCGTTAAGACCCAGAAACCTGTTTGTGTCCAGCTCTTGCATTACATGATATTCAAATGATATTCACATGATATTCACACATGATATTCAAATGATATTCACATGATATTCAAATGATATTCAAATGATATTCACATGATATTCACACATGATATTCACATGATATTCACATGATATTCACATGATATTCACATGATATTCACATGATGTTCACATGATGTTCACATGATGTTCAAATGATGTTCAAATGATATTCAAATGATATTCACATGATATTCACACATGATATTCACATGATATTCACATGATATTCACATGATATTCACACATGATGTTCAAATGATGTTCAAATGATGTTCACATGATGTTCAAATGATGTTCAAATGATGTTCACATGATATTCACATGATATTTACATGAAACAAACATGATATGTATTTGTCCTTTTGTCCTGCAGGTGAGGCCTTCATCCCGTTCTACTACGGGAAAGCGATCGACAGCATCGTGGTGCACCAGAGCATGGAGTACTTCGCTAAACCTGTGATCACTCTGTCAGCGCTCGCTTTAGTCAGGTGGGCATTTACACATTTAGACGAGTTACACATTATCTTCCAAGTGGAGCATTTTCAAGATAAATCTTCCTGAATTTTAGGTGATACGATTCATTTTTAAAGGAACTCATTCAAAATGATTGCACAAGTCACCTAAAGACAACATAAACACAACTCACGATTGGCGAAAAGCCAAATTAAATCGATGCTCCCTGATAAACTCAAACACATAAATATATCAGCAGGCCTACTGACCAAACATTAAAGGAACAGTTAGACATATTTCTGGGGAAATCCTCCAGTTCTCTCTTTAATGGTTAACCTGGCTAATAACAATCTGAGAAGCCTTCACTGGAAACTGTTTCGGAGAAAGGAACAGACACTTAGCAGGAAGGTCTGCATAATAAATCATATACATCGTCGTCGTCATCATCATCATCATCTATATCTGTTGTTCTAGAGTCACAGAGACCTTCATTGGTACCACCTTAAGTGGGCGTACATCCCAAGTGCCAATGAATGGAAACATCCTCTGAGTGAAAGTGTGTGTGAAGGTGTGGATGTGAGTGTTAGTGTCAGGATCAGAGAACGACAGCTTTCCTCTGTTCCAGTCCAGACTCACTCTGACCCTCTGGAGCTCCTTCTGCAGGAGGAGAGGAGTTTCTGGACGTGGTAGTGACTGTGCTGAGTATTTACCTCCAATAGACACTATTCTCCATACTCCAGACCGTATGAATCCCTTCCTCTGGACAGACTCTGCTAACACACCCAGTACCCAGCCTGTATTGTCTCCAACATGGACATCCCAGCTGTGAGTCCCTGAGTTAAAACCCTCAGAGCCCAGGACAGACCAGTAGTAACTATCAAACCTCTCTGGATTATCAGGAAGTTCCTGTCTCTCTCCTAGTCTCACACTGGTCAGATCTTCAGACAGTACGAGGTATGGAAAAGCAGTGTTTGGGTCCAGGATGAGAGGAGAGTAGGACACCATGTCCTTCATCTTGCTCCAGATGTTGAAGCTGAGGTTGCCCAGGTGTTTGGCCTGGTCTATCAGAGCTCCTGAGGGCAGCTCTGGATCCTCCAGCAGGGGGCGCTGCAGCCTCTTCACTGCAGCCTTGTAGTTTTGCAGGAAGGAGACGTCTTCAGCTCTCAGCTCCTCCTCTGTGGCTCTGACTGTGTGTGAAAGAGCTGCTATCTCTCTGCTCACAGCCTCCATCTCCTCCTTCATCATCCTCCTCTTCTGTTCCTCTTCCTCTCTCAGTGCAGCCATCCTGGCCTGCTCTTCCTCTTCTAGAAACTGGTGAAGCTTCTTAAACTGCTTCTTAATCTGCGTCTCTGTGTGTTGAGCCTGGACCTTCAGGTGTCCTGCTGTGTGAGCACACTTCACTTTAACTTCTTTAAACAGCTTCAGTTTCTCCTGAAAGGGCTGCAGAGTTTCCTGAAGCTCCTCTTTGAGATCCTGTGCAGCTTCATTGATGGGTTTGAAACTGTGTTTGTTGTGTATTTTCGAATCTCTGCAGACGACACACACTGGCTGCTGATGGTCCAGACAGAATAGTTTGAGTTTCTCAGAGTGCAGACTGCAGAGAGCCTCTGGAGGTCTCTGATCTCTCTCCTGTAGGAAACTCTCACACAGGTTCTTCAACACCAGGTTACAGGGAGGTTCATAAATCTGAAGGTCTCTTACAAAGTGGACACTCCTTGATGACTTTCTCCGTCCACCAGGTCTGCAGACAGGCTCTACAGAAGCTGTGGCTGCAGGACAGGACCACAGGATCTTTAAAGATGTCACGGCAGACAGTACAGCAGAGATCTTCCTCTAATCTGGAAGCCATGTTGTCTGTGAGTGAAGCAGTGAACTCAGCAGCAGCCGCTCCCTGTTCCCTGAGACTTACTTTCACTTTGAGTCTTTGTTCTGGTGAAACTCTCAGCTGTGTGGATTCAGCAGCTGCTTGAAGTGGAAGGTGTTCCAGTATTCCCTCCTGTGGACGTCCTCTCAGTGGAAGAGTTGTGTTTTTGGTGTAAAGTTGAATCTTGTATTCTGTCTCCCAACGTGTGTGTGTGTGTGTGTGTGTGTGTGTGTGTGTGTGTGTGTGTGTGTGTGTGTGTGTGTGTGTGTGTGTGTGTGTGTGTGTGTGTGTGTGTGTGTGTGTGTGTGTGTGTGTGTGTGTGTGTGTGTGTGTGTGTGTGTGTGTGTGTGTGTGTGTGTGTGTGTGTGTGTGTGTGTGTGTGTGTGTGTGTGTGTGTGTGTGTGTGTGTGGGTGTGTGTGTGTGTGTGTGTGTGTCATCTCAGCGAGGCGGAATAACAGCCTGTTTCCTGGTTAGTCTCGTGAGTCAGGCGATAGGAGGAGCTTCATCATGACGGTTCATCCGGAGTTTCATTCCAAACCGCATGAGTCATCTGTGTTTCCTCATTTCATCCTGTACACTGCTTCTGTCTCTGTTTTCTTTATGTAATGGTTCTTCAACACGGAGTCTGTGACAAATAATGTTTGAAATATTTTTTAAATATGTTTGAAAATACACTTTACAGTATCTAAAATCCAACATAATACAAACAAAGATAAATCTGCCTTTTTTTACGAAATAAAAATGATCCAACCTGCTACCCCGTGCTTGTCAGACAGAACTCCAGCTATATTTCTCCCAGTCAGTTTTATTCCTGCAATGTAAATTTCATCTTTGTTGTCAAAACTATCACTGTTACTAGATAATATTCTCTTTTCTTCTTTTTCCTTCCTGTTTTTGTCCCGCTGCTCCTTTCATACTCCATCTTCCTTCTGGTCTCTCGTTCTGCCCCTGTAGTCAGCTCTATAGGTTTCTTTGTGTGAGTGGTCTGCAAAGGCCACTCATAGATGCTGCGTATCACAGCGCACTAAGATTTGTGACAAACTGTAAAGCATTAACCCATCACTGTACCCTGTATGCAAGGGCTGGTTTGCCTTCACTAACTGTACGGAGGCTCAGTCACTGGTACATTTTTATATACAAAGCCATGTTAGGGAAACTTCCATCTTATATCCGCTCCCTGATCTCACGGCGAATTGTAAGTGGCTACTGCCTGAGATCGAATGCTGTGGTTTTATTAAATGTGCCAACTGCTAGGACTGTCTTAGGGAAGACAGCTTTTAGATGCGCAGCTCCTCTGTCTTGGAATAGTCTGCAAATTAAATGGAAACTGAACAATCTGGTGCCACTAAATGTTTTTAAAGCTCGGTTGGATGCTACTCAATCGGAAGCTATTGGTACCTGTTTATGTGGATAATTATATAAATGATGCTGTATGATGTCATTTTGTTGTTTCATGTGGAACTACTTGAGCAGGTCTCCCTTGAAAAAGAGATCAATGATCTCAATGGGATTTATCTGTATAAATAAAGCTTTGAAATGAAATGAAAAGGAGGGAACACGGCAAACTTTAGCCGCCTTTAGCTTAGCGGTGGTGACGTGAAGTCATGTGACCGTGCTGTAGTTCATTTATAGCCCAACATTATCCACCTTTAGCTTAGCGGTGGTGACGTGAAGTCATGTGACCGTGCTGTGGTTCCTTTATAGCCCAACATTAGCCACCTTTAGCTTAGCGGTGGTGACGTAAAGTCATGTGACCGTGCTGTAGTTCCTTTATAGCCCAACATTAGCCTCCTTTAGCTTAGCGGTGGTGACGTGAAGTCATGTGACCGTGCTGTAGTTCCTTTATAGCCCAACATTATCCACCTTTAGCTTAGCGGTGGTGACGTAAAGTCATGTGACCGTGCTGTAGTTCCTTTATAGCCCAACATTAGCCACCTTTAGCTTAGCGGTGGTGACGTAAAGTCATGTGACCGTGCTGTAGTTCCTTTATAGCCCAACATTAGCCTCCTTTAGCTTAGCGGTGGTGACGTGAAGTCATGTGACCGTGCTGTAGTTCCTTTATAGCCCAACATTATCCACCTTTAGCTTAGCGGTGGTGACGTGAAGTCATGTGACCGTCCTGTAGTTCCTTTATAGCCCAACATTATCCACCTTTAGCTTAGCGGTGGTGACGTGAAGTCATGTGACCGTCCTGTAGTTCCTTTATAGCCCAACATTAGCCACCTTTATCTTAAAGGTGGTGACGTGAAGTCATGTGACTGTGCTTTAGCTCTTGTATACCCTACCGTTAGCTTTTTACTTACTTAAATTCAGGGGCCTCTGAAGAAATACGACATCCCTCCACCACTCCTTCCTTTAAATGCTTTATAACTTCTCTATTCTCTCCCCAGTTCTCTTGCAATGGGAGTACGTGGAGGAGTCTTCACGCTGCTGTTTGGCAAATTAAACCTTCGTCTCAGGAACCATCTCTTCAGGACGCTGATGAGGCAGGAAATCGCCTTTTTTGATGAAAACCATACAGGTATTAAAGGAACATCCCTTAATTCTTATTAGATTCTACCCCTCTAGTACTGGGGATAACTCACTTCAGTAAACTTAGTAATACCATAGTGTCGAAATATTCTGATACGAGTAAAACTCCTGCATTCAAAATGTTTCTAAAGTTTTAAGTATTAGCATCAAAAATATACTTTTAATACAAAATTGACTTATTAAAATGACTTTATAGCTTAATATAAAGTGCTCCCAAATGTAGTGCAGTAGAAGTACTTCAACAATTCCAGTACTTTAGTAAATATACGTCACTCCCTCAAAAATATATATACCGTTATTTATTCTAAAATGTATTCCTGCTAATTATCCCCCTTTTGGAAAAGATTCTTTACTAATCCAATTACCTATTTTTTCCTGTCGATGTAATGGAATAACATCAATACAAAATGTTATTTCCTGCCTGTATCTCTGTAGGGGACATTATTTCTCGTCTGTCGGCGGACACCACACAAGTGAGCGACCTGATCTCCAACAATATCAACGTGTTCCTGCGGAGCATCGTTAAGGGCGTCGGCTTCTTCATCTTCATGTTTGGGA